ACTCTCCCTTCCCTCTCTAAACTATTAAAATATAGTTATGCTATAAAATAAATATAGAAGAGCGTTTTATCCAAACGCTTCGTCTTGACCACTTTTTAATATGAATATACTGTCGCCTTTAGGTGTTGAATTTTTGGAACATTACAATGTTATATATATATATATTTTCAGTGAGATTAGGCGTCTTATTCCGTGTCTCGGGAATTAGCTCCCCATTAGGGGTGAAGAGCGAACCTATTGGCTTGTTAAACAAAAAATAGGTAATTTAAAAATTCCAGTTGAGTATCTTGAGAAAATTTTTTGGTTTATTAACAATATCAGAAACCTTTAACATGTTTTACTGAAATTGGTCAGTTGTTCAAAGAAGAGACTTGAGTAAGATTTCATTTAAATTTATTTTGAAATGTCTTAAGATCCAGGGAAAAATAAAATAAATGAAATAAATTATTACAATGGAGCCTTAAAGTGTTTTTTTTCCTAGTTAAATATATATAAATTTTAATTTATATATATATATTATATATATATATATATAATTAAATCAAATCTCCACCTATTTTATTTGGGATGTTTAACCCACCCAATTCTTTTGAACAAATTTTCAAAATGATTAGGATAAATATTCTCAAAAATAAAAATTATCTTAAACGACGAATATTTTCCAAATTTTTTCAAGAAAAATGTTATTTAATACTGTTTGTTATAAACATTCTGTTACGAACAGTTTTAAATAAAATGAATATCTATAAAAAAAAATTAAACATAAAATGTCTTTATAGAATAATAAAAATAGATATATAACATATAACTTATATTTATATTTTTAATATATAATTTATATATATTATATAATATATATTAAATTTTTTAAATATATTTATATATATATATATCATATATATATGAGTCCATTGATAACCATAATGGATCAGTTAACTTTCAATTTTTCAATTCGTCGTTGATTAAATCTTTAATAGATATTTTATTATCTGCAAGAATCTTGCAGTTCTTCCCATATTGCTAACATCAATCTTCCCTACTGTCTTTTTTCCCTTCTGATGGTGAATGACGAAATTAATGTTATGCCAGATTGTGCAAAATCAGTTCCAAATAGTTGACATCAACCACTACAAGACCAGCTTTTGAAAAGCAATTGTGATGACATTGATCACATAAGAGACTCCTTCGATCTCAATGTTCCAAGAAGGCTGATTGACGCCTTTACATACCAAATGCGCACATTTTTGGTATATATCCATCCTGCTGTTCTCAAAATTTTGATAAGTATTATTCATTTTTCCATTCTTTGAAAGATCTTCCCAATAACTTGTCACTTTTAGTGTGTCAAAAATTGTGTGATTTACAGCTGCTCGTTTTTCGCTGTATTGTAAAGTATAGAACAAAATGATCGCCAGTACTCATTTTTTGAATATTATAAGACAAATGCTTATGATTTGCGCTGCTTTGAACATGTTGCTTAAATAATGTCCATATCAAATAGTATAGTATTTTTAAAAACAAATGATAAAACTTTTCTGTTGCTTTTTATTTTGAATTTGATAAATATATGACTATATATATAAATATATATATATAAAACTCGATATCAATATATATATATATTCAAGTTTATTATAAGAAACAAACTTATTCTATAGTTAATAGACTCTTCCACCTAATATAAGTAGGAGTAGTAAGAAAACGAGGGTCAGACGATGGGCGACGAATAGTCGACAGTTACTTTTCGAATACGAAAGTAGTTGCGACCACAACAAGATTACTCTGCGTAATACCTATTATATCAAATTCCTAACGTTTTGTTATGTCGAACCTTTTTAGGCCCGATTTAGTACAAATTGGATTCATCCACTGCGAAAATTCCCACAACAACTTTGGCGACGAAATTCGCAATCATACGGAAGAAAAAGAAAAAAAGTGCTCGCCACAATAACTTTGGCGACAAAGTCTCAGATTCACAATTTAAAAAAAAAAAAAAAAAAAAAAAAAAACTTGTTTTTTTTTTGAAAGACAAGACATCAACTTAGTGACGAAAAAATCTGTCGTATTCTCAACTGAGAAAAGAAATTTTTTTTTTTTTGATAATAAGAGTTTGCTCAAATAGGTTAAGAATTGCAAATTCAACACCCCCTCTACAATATTTAAGCATTGTGTAAACTTTTTGCGAAGATGGAGGAATGCAAAAAAATATATTCCAGGAATTTTTTAAGTTCCAGTCAGATCAACGGTGTCAATATTAGAGCAACAAAAACATTCCAGATGCAACTACAGGAGGAAATTTTTTAATAGACAAATGCAGTTTCAATAAGAAATGGAACAGATGCATAAGGAGTTTCAAAAACAAAATTCTGGAAAGAACTGAGAAGAGGAAAGAGAAAAATCTACAAAATTATTCTTTCCCAGAGAATACAATATGGAATTCAATTGAAATATTCACGTACAGTTCAGATGAAGAGATAACTTTTGAGGAGTATTATAAAAAAATATATATGTATAACGGGACTGCCACTCATGGTCTGAAGGAAAGAAGGTTAGACTTCTTTTAAGCAAATTAGGAACTGCTGAACATAACAAATTGATAAACTACATTTTACCGAAAAAAACTAACGAGTTGACATTTACCAAGGCGGTAAATATATTAAGTGAATTATTTAGTAAAAAGACATCTTTGTTTCACAAGAGGTGGAAATGTTTGAATCTGATGAAAGATGACGAACAAGACTATATAACGTACGCAGCCAATGTGAACAAGCATTTGAAGAAGAATTCAAGCTAGCAGAGTTAAGCGCTGACAATTTTAAGTGCTTAGTGTTTGTTCAAGGGCTGGTATCAGAAAGAGACGCAGAGTTGAGAAAAATTAGTACTGGCAAAATTGGAAAACGATCCAAGTATTATAGGTACAGAAATTGGCAGAAGACTGCACAAGATATGTTAGCGTAAAGAAAGATTCAAAAAAGATAGAACAGTCTGGCGTTTTGCATGTAAGGAAAATACGCTACAAAAAAGAAAGTCAGTCTACCAAAAAGAATTCTAAAATTGTGAACTATCAAGTAAAAAGTGAAATACCAGAGAAAAATAAAAACCTCCCAAAGCCATGTTTTGCTTGCGGTGAACTACACTGGTACAGATATTGCGATTTTAGGAATAAAAAATGTTTCCTGTAAAAGAATGGGTCATAAAAGCACGCATTGCAGGTCAAAAAATAAAGATAATAAAATAAAATTAAAGTCCAACGAGGTAAAAGATGGAATAACCAGAAAATTTGTTACTGTCGAAATAAGTAATAAAAATGCAACTTGACACTGGTTCAGATCTATCTATCATAAATTTTCATACATGGAAGAAGTTGGGGAAACCAACTTTAATGAAGACAAAGAAAATTGCGAGGTCAGTGACGGGAGAAAAAATACAATTTATTGGGGAATTTGTTACAAACATCACATTAAATAAAAAAACACGAAAAGCTAAACTATTTGTTATAGAAAATACCACGAACGAACTTGGTACGAATTGGATAACAAAATTCCAATTATGGGATCTACCGATAAATTCCTTCTGTTACAAGGTAGAAAGTTTAAACACCGAAGCCCAAAAATTAATAAAGAAACTTAAGGAAACATTTCCTACTGTTTTTTCTCCAAGGTTGGGAACGTGCACCAAGATGGAGGCAAAATTCCAGTGTTGTCGGTTTTCTTAAAGAGGGTCATTTTGAGAAACTATCCACTAAATGATGTAATGGCATCCATTCAGTTGACCTATGAAAAAAACCTAGACCATGGTAGGTCTGTTTTTGGCCAGGGGTTAAATTTTATTGGGGGTGCCTTTGCAAACAAAAGACAGATTAATTTTGCCAGAAATGTCCCCATCCATATTCGACCAATATACAAAACCAGTTATACTTCCTAAAAAAGACCAGTAGAAAATCCTTTAGTATTTGCTTTTGCAGTGTGTATGGAATCACCACACGACGGCAATACTATATCGCAAAAAAACATTTGTTGTGTAAGTCTCGGATATTTATTTTATTTTCAAGATATAAAAATTGGCTTCTTCTTTTTTTTTTGTCTAGAGTTACTGGAAGTTCCCGAACTGCATTACACACAGTAAATTTCAGCTCTTCTTCTGACTTCAATGAGGCAATTACCGTGTCTTCTAATGGTTCACTCATTTTAAAATAACCTGGACAGCCCATCAGCATAGCCAAATTTATTCGAAAGTATGTACTCCATGCTGAAGCTATAATTTAAAGTATTGTACCCCATCTCTGTAGAAGAACCTGGCTGAAACTGTGAACCCATTCTTAAGAAGCTCAAATTGCCAATCCAATTTTGTTTTTTTCCAATCTCCCAGAATGATTTATTCCGTTTATTAAAAAAAAGTATAAAACCGGATTGTATATTTTTTATTTGAATAAATTTTTCTCTACCTGGCTTTGTCTTTTTTGGTGAATTTGTCAAGCATTTTACGGCAAACATCAACAGATCAGACGATGCCCTTCAGACATGGTTGAGAGCGGTCCCGCGGAAGAAACGCCGATGGAGGTGATTTTTCAATACGTTTGATCTAACAACGCCGGCAAATTTTACCTGAGGTACGCTGATCCAGGAGAAAAGAAAGGCAACTGATCATTTAAAAGTGGATCCAAAACGTAGGAGATACGCTACGATGTTGCTAAAAAAAAAAAAAAGTTTTTTTTTTTTTTTTTTTTCATATTTCCTGTAAAAAAAAAATAAAAAGAAAACTGTTTTACTCCTATGAAGTAAAGTTTTAGGAGGGGGTGTTATGGTGAAACACACATATTATATAGTTAATAGACTCTCCCACCTAATATAAGTAGGAGTAGTAAGAGAAACAAGGGTCAGTCAATGTCGGACGACAGTAGTCGACAGTCGAATATGAAAGTAGTCAGCAACCACAACATTTAGTACAAATACAATCCTCCACTGCGAAATAACTCCACAACAATTTTTTTTCTTTTTCAGAGCAGATATTGCTCTTATTGGACTTGCAGTCATGGGACAGAATCTCATCCTAAATATGAACGACCATGGATTTATAGTAAGTACCTTATTAAATAATAATACCCTCCTCTTTCTTTTGATTTCCTATTAATTTTATATAGCAAGTACTCTTATTTTCCTAATTCAAGATGAGGCATTAGCAATTGGGAGACAAAATCTGAATTTTTTCATTATGCAATAAATATCTGGATGGGAGGTTTTAATAAAAGAGTAGGTTTGGAAAATCATTTAAAAGGTCAAAAAAAGTGAAATTAATAAACAGAATGGTTCCTGAACATAAAATAAGTCCCGTCCTCTTCTATTATGTACCTAGGAGTAATAGCTCCACTGTGCTATCAAAAAATAATGGCAGTATTTTTGATATCTACAATTGTAGAATTATTGATTTACCTAGAAATGAAAAATAATTTAAGACACAAGTTATGGTAATATTTAAGTGTTTAATGAATTTCTTTAATTCAACATTGTTTTTTATTACTATAAACATTATGTTTATTGTGTATGCATTTTTGAGTAGATATCTCCATTTTTAACAGTAAAATTAATATATACAGGCCAACAGATTGAAAGTCTTAAAGAAACTTGTTCTTTTACAATTAAGCTACAGGTAACCATTACAGCAAAGTAAGAACCACATACCTTATTTAAAAAATGAATATCTCTTATTCAGATATTTTGAAGTCTATATCTGCTAACTATATTTTTTTATACCTTTTTTATTCTTTTTTAACAGACCTTTATTTCAAAGCTTACTGCATGTCTACATATAAAATTGTTTATGGTCCCACTATATTTTTAATATTATGTATATCACACTATAGGAGGCACTTCCTTCAAATTAATAGTAGTTCGGATTGAGGAATCATAGAAGCTAGTTCAAATTCCAGTCGGATCCATTACATTCACTTACATGCTAATACCCTTGGGAAAGTTAGGACTCCTCTTCTCTCTCCAGCTATGGGAAATGGCTTCTGTAGCCTTGGGTGGCTACAGGTCTAAGAGAAGGTTACTCTGAATTCAAAAATCGGCCTGGATTGGGTTGGGCTATCTTGCCCCAGAAACACCACTTCTACTGCAGCTGCAATGCATGTGGTGCCTTTATGGTCCTGATGGGTCATAGGATTTCCGATCGCAATATCTTACTATTATCAATACTGGCTTATGACCATGTAACTTTGAAACACCAGTTTTTATACAATCACCAAATTTAAACAAGGCTGAGCTTGGCCAGTACCTAGATGGGTGACCGCTTGTTATTATCGGGTGCTGTAAGCTTGGCTGTGCGGGTGGTGTAATGGATATCTGCCTGGGATGGGAAATTGGAGAGTAGAGTTCCAATTCCCGTCTGATTTGTTATATTCACTTACATGCAAATACCCTTTGGGAATGATATGAAACCATTTCTCCCTCCAGCTATGAGCTAATTAGTAGGACTTAATCAGTAAATCATTATCCAAAAAAAAAAAAATAACTCTTACCTTCTAAAAATATTTTTTGACTTTAAGCAACCTGCGAAGGGTTGGTAATTTGTAAAAAAAAAAAAAAAAAAATCAATATCAATTATCATTACTATTCTGCTATGTTATAATGAACAGCATAAGTATTTAGTGTTATAATAAACATAAGCTGCTGCAACTGCTCACAGAATTTGGGAAGGGAGGAGGAAATTAAACCATTGCCCCAAAATTGGTTTAAGCTAGAGGTTCTCAACATTTTTTTTTGAGTCACAGTTGCCTATAAGAACTAGCCCTTCATAGACAGACAAGCAGAAACTCAGTCTGTGTTTTTTTCACAACACTTGTACATGCATTTTTCCATATTGAACCTTTATGTGGTTGGCACTATAAATAGTTGTTGGGTACTTTTTTTTTTTTTTTCAAGCAGTGGCAGGATGCATTTTCTTCTATTTCTTTCAATAATGACTATAAATGTTAGTTTTTATCTGATTCTCACAGACCGCATGAAACCCATCCATGGATCCCAGGTCAAGAAGCCCTGGTTTAAACATTTTAAGGAGTGGTAAAATATCTATTGAAATCCTAGAAATTAACACCCATCAGTTGATGTAGATACTATAAAACATAAGGTAGAAGAGAACTTGAACATCATTGGCCAAAAAAACTTTCAAGAAGAATTATAAAGCTTCAAAAAGCATAAAGATGCCCTCAAGAGGTTATCCATGATTTAAAAATAAAATACTTTTGATATGCCTAATTAATAATGGTGTTTTTTTTTTTTGTTTGTTTTTTTATATATTAAAATTTATTACAAAGTTGAGATTGGTAATTCATACAATTTTCTCTCCTTTAGTTATTAATGGCTGTTGAAAATTTATCAGCAGAAATGGAATGAAAAGACATTATAATAAGCCAGATGTTTCTTCATTGTTAAGCCTACTTACATAAATCAGACGGACAAGAAATTTTCAACTTAAAATAGACAAGCAATAAAGAAGTATAACACATGAGAAAAGGATTTAACGTGGTATAAATGCAATGTGGCAACTTGAAGCAGACAAGTTGGAATATTGTTTATGGAACTTACAGTTCTCAAGAACAGCTTCTTATTCAGTACTATAAATGGTAATATTCTAGTCTTTAACTTAAATCCTATTATTCTGCAAATTCTTTATGTAGTCAGGTATATTTAGCATTTTCCTTCCTGTAGATGGATTTTTTCTTTTCTTTTTTTTTTTTTTAAATTCATTCACCCCAAGCAAGGCAATAATGCCACTGATGCAATGGGTTAATCAGAGTGAAGGAGAATGAAGACTTTTAGAAGGATCTGGAAACAAGGGATAAACCTCTGCTCCTATTCAAATGACTCAGGAGGTGTTTGAACCAGATGATAAGCGAACATATCTATTCCTATTGAGGAAAAATAAATAGTAAATATAATTTCAGAGTTTAGACTTTAGAAGGAACTAGAAACCCAGTCTTAAACCAGAAACAAGGGAGAAACCTCTAGTCATGTTCAAAAGACCATGGAGGAGTGTGAACTGGACAATAAGCAAACCTATCTACTCTTAAGGTAGTCCATCCAGAGGCGTGGGGAGGACCATGATTTTAAACCTCCACTGAGTGATACTCCAAAATTGTTTAAGTAAAGGTAACATGTGTATTAGACTCAGTTGGGACCAAACTCATTGCAGTAATAAGTACTGCTCTATGGTAGGACTCTTAACAATTACCTTAAAAGCTACAGATTCAACTCCTTATAGTTGTAATGACTTGTTAGCTTTCTAACTTCATCTTTCATGTATGTCTGATGACTGTTTACACATTCAGTACAATGGGCACAAATGCAGGTCATGAGGAAATAGATATTTTTGCTGAAAATTCATGGACTGCCATTGATGATAAGGAAGATATAAAAAAAAATCAATAACAGTATTTATTTTAGTTGTAAGATTTTACTATTGTGTTAGGGGAAGGAAAACCCTGATTTTAAACCACTACTGCCTTGCAGCCATATCCAAACATGGAAAAGGCTATAGAGTTAAATCTAGACAAAAAATTCAAAGTGGTGCCCTCAAAGCAGTTGGCTGTCAACACTGACAAACTTCCCACAACTCCTGCAGCCATGTAATGCCCTGTATTCTTTGGATTTTTTCAATATGGCTGAGAAGAGGGAGATGTGGTTTGTGTAGAGTACATCCTTCATATATCATCATCCAGATCTGTGCCCCAGAAAGGTCACCAAGAAGTGAATTTTGACCAAACAGGTATAAAAAAGATAAACAGATGATTACTACTTCTTCATATTTAAGGGAAAAGTAAATTGGTTCAATAGTTAAAAGAATAATAATAAAAGTTAACTTAGAAAAATTAATTTTAGCTGTGATTGCTTTCTTAATTAGCTTGTGAAAGTCATTTGTTGGATGTAGGTCTTCCTCTGCTGTTCATGGGAAGAAATGGCCCCTACTGCTCTGACCCAATGTGTTGATAGGGGCTTACAGCACCTAGTATTTCCAAACAGTCACCCATCTGAGTACTGACCAGGCTCAATGTTGATTAACAGATTAACTGCCAGAGGTCAATTACAAAATCTGACTTCAAACATCAATTTTATAATAGCCAACTTAGGCAAAAAAAAAAATTTTATGAGTTGATTTATAGTTTCAACTGAATCTTAACATTGTTTTCTCATTAAAAGTATCACTGCAAATAAAGTTGTTGTGGATTAAAATGTATCAGAAAATGCCAAGCACAAGACTACTCATAGATGGCACCATAATAAAAACTGCCAACTGCAAGTTATTTTGTGGTTGGCAGCCAATATGTTAACTTTGGTGATCAAACAAGAATCAATGTTTCAATATGATATAGCCTCAAGTTGCAATGCCATTCAACTTCTCCGTGTTCTATCACATTGTCAATTCTATTGACTGAGGTCTGGATACTTGGACGTGGTGTAATGGGTAATAAGCTTGTCTCACTAGATCAATTATGACTGAATAGTGAGTTTGATTCTCACTGAATGCTCCATACTTTCAGTCTTGTGCCACATCTAAGCTCTGCTTAGAAAATCATATTGATCAGGGTCTTGTATGTTACTTGTGAGTAAGTAAATTTGCAAACCAAAGCAAATAACAGAATGGCTACTGTATCCATTGTCATTAAAAAAATTTCATATTTTAAAATATGGTGATGTTTCTAAGACTAGCTTAGATGTGGCACAAGGCCAAAAGTATGGAGCTTTCAGTGAGTATCGAATTCCCTACTCAGTTGTAATTGTTTTAACAAGGCAAGCTTGCTAACCTTTACACCATGTTGAGGTTCTCATCATATTTTGAATTTTTTTTTTTTTTTTTTAAACTATGTACCATTAAAATGTTGGTGATCATAGCTCTCCACAAATTCCTTTTCTTTGTTATTTGTAAATTAAGAATTCCCATGATTATTCTTGAAAGGTAGTGGAGCAGTTTCTCATTCTCTAACATTTTAATTCAGTTATCCTAGACTAGTTGCCCTACCTTTGTTAGATGGTTTACTTCACCCTACTATTTCACCCATAGCTGGATGAGATGACATGGATGCATGCATTTCTGAAAAAAATCTAGTGCAGAATGAATACAACAGCCTTGGCTGGAATTTGAATGTGTCCTATTCCTTCCATTTTCTGCATTGATAACCGTTACACCACCCACTACCACACACATTCCATTGTAAATAATCATCATTAATGTATTAAGTGGGCTGTGGTTTACAAGAAAGTAATTTTATAACCATTACTTTCATTGGCAAATTGTATCAAAAGTATTTCATTTTTTTAATCTTCAAGAGCTTCTCTATGCTTCTTTTTTTTTAATTTTTTTTTTTAAGCTTACATAATGCTCTCTCTCTCCTCTCTCCTGTGTGTTTGTATGTATGTATATATATATATATATATATATTTGTCTCTCTCCTGTGTGTTTGTTTGTATGTATGTATATATATATATATATATATATATATATATATATATATATATATATATATATATATATATTCATGTATGTATATATATATATATATATATATATTTGTGGGTTTTGTAAACAGTGACTATTATAGCTATATAGCGAGACTCTTCACGGCCGAATTGAGTCACTGTCAGTCACTGGGCATGTTTCTAAAAATAAATATGCTAAAAATCTTCATCCCCATCCCCGTATATAACGGCTTAGTGGTTAAAGCTCCGACTGACACCAATTCAGTCGGGTTTCGATCCACAGCTAGAGGCAACCGGATGTCTAGCCACACTGATGAGCTGTAAACAGTGAAACAGTCTGTCTGTGGATGACGTTATATATATATATATATATATATATACATACATTAGGTGTAACATATAAAATTGTCCAATTATTAGATTAAGCTTTGAACTATTTAATCTTAGAGATGATTAAATATATCTTACTTGAATTCTCCGAGATATTTATAACACAACTGGACTCTACTTTGAGTAATAAGAATGTATAATTACTATTGTCTAAGCTTAACAGAGATATTGTGATGAAATCGATCATAAATGAAAATGACATGTCCATCATTAATTAATCATAGGAAGGGATAGGAAGCTCATGAAATAAAGTTCAATATATATATATATATATATATATATATATATATATATATATATATATATATATATATAAGAAGATGGTGACTTTAATTATCCATTTCAATTATAATTTATTTCATCAAATGGATAATTAATGTCTCTGTCTTATTATCATAATGCTCTGTAGTCTACATTGAGCTATCTTTGGATTTATACCCTCCTCGGAATTATCCCTTCCAGTCACAAACTGGTTTCCAGGATCATTTTCCAACTTATACAAGTATTCTCTCAATGCTTCCTGCTTTCCAGCCCATTGGAAGTCCTCTTTTGTCATCCCTGTTTTTAAGAACTCTGGAGAACCTTCTGACTCCTCTAACTACCACTTTGTCAGTTTCCTACTGCTTTTCACCAAAGTCTTCAAGGCTTTAATCGATGCCAAAGTGATTAAGTATCTTACTTCTATGTTCACTTTTATATTTACACACGCTCTATCACTGATATTGAGCATTTTATCCCATAAATATAGCACACCTTAAAACTATATTTCTTCATATATATATATATATATATGTCTCAAGCTCTTGATAATAATGGCAAAGCTTAAGCAGTGGCTCTAGATATCTCAAAGTCATTTGACAGTTTAGCATGCTGGTCTTCTGTGTAAGCTCCAGGGTTATGGTATTACAGGATGATTATTTGGTTTAATTCAATCATTCCTATCAAATCATGAAATGAAGGTCATCCTGAATAGGCTCTCTTCTAATTTCTTCCATACAAATACAGGAGTTCCCCAAGGCTCTATTTAATGCTCTACATACAGAATCTTTCACTAATCCATGCTTTTGTGAAAAGTATTTGTTTTTAATTAAAAAAAAAAATGTTCAAGTGCTAATGGTGTTTCCTCTTCTACCTTGAATCATGAAGCATCATCAACAATTGATGGTGGTTCATTTCTGGACTTTATTTCCAGGGACAAGTCACTATCTTTAAAATGCTGAAAACCAGACTTTGGCTATGCGGTCAGATATTGTTTTATTTTTTATTTTTCCACTTCCCAAATTCTGCAAATAGCATTAAGTTTTGAAACCCAATTTATAATTATTGCTTCAAAATTTCCCACCATCATAACATCTGAAACAAAAGCTGAATTTGCCTCCTCCCTTCTTCCACTTTCTTAGCATCCAACCTCAGCCCATTTAAAAAGACTGGTACAACTGTCTTTGTGACGAATCTAAACTTTAGAATGTGTAGGCAAAATGGGGGTTTCCAGTAATTAATCTTTTATTAGCTTGGCTCATTCTGTTTTAGGTGATTTCCCAAAGCCAGTAAGTTGTTCATATTCTAAGATAATCTGAGCCAATTGTTTTATTCATCCAGCAGTTGCCATTGGTGAGAAAAAGGAAAGATTCTCAATATTTTTAGTAATAAAAAAAATTATCTTTCTCTGTTTGTGTTTCTTGGTTAGCAAGACCATGCAGCTTTTGCCTATGTATTGAACTCCAGTCACTCTAACTGGAGAAAATCCAAATCTCCAAATATCAAAAATTGTTTGTTTATCCAACAGTCATTGTACTTTCAGTTTAATTATTTTACTTTTTAGCACACTGACCTCTCAAAAAATGCAACTCGGTCCTTTCATACTTTCCTTTTCTTCTCTTTCTCCTCCTTTTTTCCTTTCTTTTTCTTCTCCTTTTCTCTTTCCTCTTCTTTTTTCTTGATTAACTCCCTAAGGTCCCACTGCCACACTATACTTGATGTCAGATGCATGAGCTGCACAGTTCTTGACAATCACAAGATCCAAGGTTATCAAGGTTATTTTCTGTAATGCATTTTTTAATCAAAAAATTTTAACATATCCATTCATGAAAAAAAAAGTGAAAAACATTACTTGGATGTCATACAACAATGGCTTGGATATGAGTGAAGGACAAAGCAAGGTTGTTTCTTAGCAATGAAAGATAAGATATAAATTTTTGTTTTTTTTCTTCATCAAAAATAAGTGGTAATGTGATGCTTGCAAAAATCCAACTTTCAAAAAGCAGAGGAAACCAGGATATTTATTTTCCTTCTTGTTTTTAGCTTTTTTTTAATCATTTCACCCCAAGCAAGTTGATAAATCCACTAAGACATAAGAGATTACTGAAGGTGAAGGAAACTGAGAAAATGTTGCTGAGGAGAGAGAAAAGAATAAGTTTCAAGGAGACTAAAGATGACAATTGGTGTTGTATTTAAATTTTTGGAGATAGCAGCTGGTAAGAAACTGGAAAAGAGTTCCACAAGCAAAAAGTGCAAGAATAGAAACCATTAGAATTGTTGAAGAGTAGGATTCAGCATGCTTCCTGCTCTTTCCTACTAGTGTGACAATGGACTACTCCTATTTATAAATATGGCCACATTAGAGGAGGATTTAAGGAGTAGTTGATTTAAGTTTTTCTGTTCTATGTATGAGTATTTAATAAACCTCCTCTTCTTTGTTTTCTCTACCTAATCTTATGTTCTTTGATATGCTCTCTAACTACGTCCTTCCTAATTCTCAGTTACTTTGAACAAAGAAAACAGTACAAGTATTGAACTTACACTTAGCAATTTCAACAGTAAAAAGATGAGATTTAGCTGTCAATTTAGTACTCCAGTTAAATTCCTGAAGTCAGGCTACCAAAAAGGATAGTCAATCAGAACAATTGCTATGAAAATGCTTATAGAAAATGTACTAAGAAGTTATGTTATGATGGCGGGAAAGTGACTGATGCTGAAATATCAGGTCATAACCAATAACATTGCAGATTTTTTAATGGATTTTGTTACTTAATTCTTTAATAATAAATCTATTTTGATATATAAATTTCTTTTTTCCTTCTCAGGTATGTGCCTTCAACAGAACTGTATCAAAAGTGACCCACTTTCTTGAAAATGAAGCTAAAGGAACAAAAGTGATTGGTGCCACTTCTCTGGAAGACATGGTATCCAAGTTGAAAAAACCACGTCGGGTGATGCTGCTGGTCAAAGCTGGTCAAGCAGTGGATGATTTTATTAATAAATTGGTAAGTATGGAATTCCAGAATTGGGGTTTATTTTTTGGTTATGCTTGAAGTGTGGTGTGATATAAACACTTCATTAATATTTTGATCTAGCTATTTATACAGTTTTACTTAGTCTGGCACAAGGCCATAAGTATAGGTCATCCAGTAAGGAATAAACTCACTACAGTTGTAATAGTCTAGACTAAGTGTTTCAAGAAAGAGAACTGAACATAAACCTTTACAAAACAGAAACTATGATCTAAAATTGGAATGAAATCTGTGATGGCACCTATCCTGAATTCATCATAAAAATTCAAGATGTGGAATAAATAAATACTAAACACTTCAAATAGCTTTGTGTATGGCTCAGTTATAAGAAATTTAGTATAGAAGATAATGAAATTGAATATATAATAGGCTGCAAAAGGGGTAGTCTCACCCTAAACCACAAATTGCTCCAAAACTGAAACATTAATTTAAAAACTTTAGTTTAAATAGCCTTGTCAATTTGAGATATTCATGTGGTACCAGACTTGTTGAAAACTAAACTGCCAACTGTATACAACCACTTTCTCATATCAATGTTTAAAAATGGCTTTGGGTGAATGAAGTATGTAGGTCTTGGCAAAGACCATCCTTTATTGAACCTTGTGGACTGGTACTACAGAATTGCAAACAAAGAACTGTATCAAATAACAGAAACATCACTTGATGACTACCAACATCAGCAACAACTAAAATGGATATCACATGTAACTCAGAGAAAATAATGACTTAATCAAGATGTTGATGTTCCACACTACTTAAAACAAAAGGGCCTATCAGTACTGAAAAAAGCAACAACAGTTACTGAACTGGAGAAACTTATTTTCCTGAAAAATTGTTTTATTGGAATGATTTTATGAATTTCAAACTAAAGTAGTACTTTTGCTCTGTCAGTGACTGTCGAATGTTTACTTATAAGGAAATGGCTAATATTAGCATTAGAGGTACGAACATATACTACACTTTAATCCCAGTCCAGATGGCTAATGTTATCATTACCATAGACCTATGCTTGCTTATCACTGTTCTATGGTGGAGTGCCACAAAATTAATGTTTGTGTAAATCACATGTGTATTACACTCAGGACTAAACACACTCCAGTAATAAGCACTGCTTTCTGGTGGAACTCTTAACAATTATCTTAAAGATTACAGTAGAAAACCCAGTGAGGATTAAACTCTTTATTGTAGTAATGATTTCTAATCTTGGAAAAGGTATGAATCCACCTTTTCTTTTTCCTTCTATTGGTTAATTAGTAAGACTTGTATCAATAAATCATTATCTCAAAAAAATTCTTACAATATAAAAATATTTTCTGACTTTAAATAACCTGCAAACTATTGATAAGCCATAGAAAATGAGTCAATCAAATCTCTGTGCTTACAAAAGTTCTTTGACCAAACATCAATTTTTTTTTTGTTTTTTATTTAATCCCTTATTGCTTTACCAGATAACTTTTCAGCACCCTCTTGTGTATGATTATTTAGTATTAGTGTTTTGTTTTGTTTTTTTTGTACTCCTCACCCCTCAATCTGGCCTTTCAAGGAGAGCATTGGTTATCGGCCAATTTAGTAAAAAAAATTCATTTGAAATTGTTTATATTCACTTATTGCTTAATATCCATTTGTATTGACTGTATTTTGTATTTAGCTCTAATACTTTTGTTACTGTCATGTCATAGTGGTTGACAGAAGAGTGAGTTAAGTGCATTGATCTGTTGAAAAATAAATGTGTAAAATAAATGCATTTTTCCTGATTAACCTATGAACTTATTGATGTACCTTTCTGTTATATTTATTGTGATTAAACTTTTATGTTTTTGCTCCATTTATAAAAATGTATGAATATGTTTAAATGAATTTTAACTTGAAAATTACTTTGCACATTATGTGCAGGGAATATTGACCAATTCAACTGCATGCAACAAAGTTCAAAAACACAGTTTTATAGAGAAACTTTTGTTCCTGGGTATCTGGTCACTAATTGGAAGATTGGGGGTTTTGAAGAGCATGGAACTACCTCTTAATTGCTGATCCCAGGACCACTATGACCCAGGATCATAGCACCTGTTAGGGTTCCAGCTATGGGAAAGCAATGAACCCCCAAACACTATAAAGTATAAAAATAAATTTTTATAGTAAAATACCAATGATACATATTTTAGTAGAATTAATAATGATACATTTTGAAAGCAGAATTACCAACAATAAATTTGATAACAAAATGACCAACAATATATTTTATCTGTAGTTGAAGCCATGAAACTGTTCCAAATATTTAGACTTTGGCATTAAATAACCCATAGAGGTTGATATGCCACTTAACAAAATCAACTAAACCTAGAGAAACTTCAATTATTCATGATTGGTAATTCTTTTTATTTAGACAATGATTTTTTTTAATTCTTTTCTAGGTTCCACTGCTTGAAAAGGGTGATATCATCATTGATGGTGGTAATTCTGAGTACCAAGATACAACAGTAAGTAAAAGTATCCTATAATCATTGATTATTACATGTACACAATTAGTAATTATGAAAATATATACACACACACTTTTTTTTTTTTTTATTTCACCCCAAGCAAGGCAATAAAGCCACTAAGGTGTAAGAGGTTACTGATTGTTAGAGAATATGAGAAGAAAATAAAAAGCCCTATTAAGGAGAGAAAATAAAAGAAAGGAATTAAGAAGATAGAAGATAATGATTGACATTGTATTTAAACTTTTGAAGATCAAACTTGACTAGGAAGCAAGAAGCCAGAAGAGTTCCACAAGTGAAAAGTGCGATAGAAGAAACTATTAGAATAGAACTTAGTTATATCTAGTCATTTTAACTGTAAAATGCTGAGACCATGCTACCAATTTAGTACTGCACTTAAATTCATAAAGTCTAGGTAGCATAGAGGAAGGTTCATCAGAACAATTAACATAACTAATTCTTCTTTGGATTTTATAAAATAATCTCTAAATATATAGAAGGAGCACCAGATGAGATGTGGCAGCAACATTCAGCCAAGGATGAATGGTAGACTTATAAATATGTAAGATAGATTCTGGCAAGAAAAATTGTTTAACATGAATATATTTGTCCTTATTGTTGTATTCTGATCTTTTCCAAAGATGGGTCTTTTCACCTTTAAGCTTTGGAAACATATTGGTACTGTCTACAATTGTCATAATGTGGACATATCAATCAGTACATCACAAACAACCAAATTACTAATAAGACAAATCTTTAATAGATTGTACCAAAATGATATACAGAATTTACTGTAAAGAAAGGCTCAAAAATTCTAGAAGTCATTATAATACAAAAATGTCCCTACATTAAATATTTTTTGCCACAGGAGACGGTATCTTGAAGTGCATATTAAAAAAAGCATGTATAGAGATTCAATATATGCTTTTCCATTTAACAGTTACATATGACGTCACTTTGAACTGATTCAAATTCCATCAATCTAAAAATGCCAGAATTTAGTTAAAAAAAAAACAAAAGTATTGATTATGCTACTGATAACATCCATTTCTTGACTGTGCTAGTCACAAGTACTTGGATATAAAAGAAAAAAAAACATGAATTTTGGACAATTTATTCATAACTTCGATTCCTATGTAAAATATCTCATTCAGAAATTGAAAAGATATGCTAAAAAGTTCAATGGACAAACCTTGTAAATGGAAATTAATAAAACTTGTTTGGATGAATTCTTGCTACATGAATACACATTATTTAATTTGTCACTTGGCCACCAGTACATGGGAGATAACTCTAATACAGTAAAATGTTACAAATTACAGACAAGAAAACATTTGACATTGTAATATACTTTGTACATTAAAGATGCTGCCTTAATTGAGCCTCGTCACGGGTGCTGCCCGCCTTTGGCCTAGCCTCGTCACGGGTGCTGCCCGCCCTTGGCCTAGCCTCGTCACAGGTGCTGCACACCCTTGGTCTAGCCTCCTCATGGGTGCTGCTTACCTTACTTAGTATAGTATTATGTTGTTATGTTATATAATGTCAAGAGGGATTTTGAAATCTGTGTATGATCTTAGAAGTATGTTATATACATAAATGTGACACCATGTCGAGTTTAAAGTGAAAGTGTTTTTTTTTTCTCTTTAGCCCTTTACAGTCTCGGATTTGGCTTCTGGCAACTTCTGGCTCTTACAAGGGGAGGTGATTTTAGCCTGTGGATGAGATTATGGTTAAAGAGAATCCCAAACATGCACTCTTCTGAGTGAGGAACTTTGAAAGGGTTTAAACTGTTGTTGTCTTTGATAGACTGTTTTTCATTAATCTTGAATAATTGGATGTGTGGTGCTATGGAACCCTAGATAGAAGTGGAAGAGATAGTTTGTTTTTTTTTTTATCTGGATCTCAAGTGTTTCTGTTTGATAAACCAGCAGATGGTTCCTTTTGAATTTCAGTCTTCTATGCAGCATCCAGTTTAACCAAAGAGTAATGGGAAGTAAAGGTGTGGATGAAGGATTGCATTTACCATGATGGCAACAGTTATATGTGTGTACCTGGTGAAAAGTGTAAAATTCTACAATAACACACAGAAACTATGGTCATTTACCTAATTTACTTAAATTATAACTTTTCTAAATTATTAGCGAGGTGTAATTAAAACTCATGTAAACAAGAAAATAATGCTTTAATTGCTTTATATATAGATTGATATGGATACATCCTGTAACTGACATGAAATAAATAGAAATCAAAAAGTACAGAGAGTTCAAAAATAATAGTGGAGCTGGTTAATAAATGTGATACTCTTCTTGAAATGACATAAAGCGCTGGTTCATGAAACATGTCAATTTCTGAATTTCCTCTAATGTAATTTCACATGATACATTCACTATTGCCTGCCACAAGTTCTCCTTGCTTCTAAATTGGCATCCATTCTCATAAACCCGTTGCTTCAGAATCACCCACAAGTTTTCGACTGTTTAAGTCTGGAGAATTAGCTGGCCAGTTCATTTTCTGAGATCCACAGAAACCTAACTGTTGCAGATACTCCATAGTTTTATGCATTGCTTGCAAGGGAGCATAAATATGATGGTTTTCCTGACTTTGCTTTTTTTAACCACGGTTCAAGGTGCTCTCTCAGGAAAGCTATATAAACATCTGTAGTCATTTTAATACCATCAGGCACTTTCCACAGACCAACCATGATACCTCCAATAATACCAGCCCAAATCAGGATACCCCCTCCTCGTTGATGTCTCAAGCGTTGATGACAATGTCCTCTGTTTACGACCCAACCTTTGCTCCAACTGTCAGGACTATCAATCGTAGCATGAGATTCATCTGTGAACAAAACCTTTGAGAAGTCGACTTTCATGTTATCTTCTGCTCATTTCAGATGCTTTTGTATGTGTCTTTTTGTCAATGGAGGCATTGTCACCGGTCTCAATGATTTCTCTACCTTTTTCAGAAGACTACATCAAGTAGTTCTGGACACAGTTGTTTGTCTAATGGACCTGAAAAGTTCTCCACTGGTCAGGCGTGGGTTATTTACAGCTTTGTGTTTAATACGCAACAAAGAATATTTGGAAACAACTCTTGTGTGACTCATATCAGCCCTCTTACGTACCTTAGTAGGAGCTGCACCAAACCTTTTCACAATTTAGTGATATCTTCTACTCATTTTGGATATTTCAGATGTTGATTTACCTTTTGCAAGTTTAGATGTTATAACAGACTTCTCAAAAGCAGTTAAGTCACAACTGCAACCCATATTTGCACAATTATGAAGTCACTCATTAACAATTTGGAGTATCGTGTTACTCATGCAAATGGCTGCAGTTTGTTTACACTTGCACAGAACCTTATAATTTTTACACAGCATGTGCATACAACTGTTGCCATCATTCTGTGAAATTTTCATTAAATTCCAACCTGTAGTTTTTGGACAAAATGGAAAACTGTCACTTCATTAATAATTCATTACACAGTGTATATTGGATTGTATCTCCTGAATTTATCTCATAAAAATGTATGTTATATGTTTTCTTAAAATGTCCAAAATTGCCAGTGGATCACTAAGAAATTTGAAAAATGTGAAATTCCTCTCGAATTTAAAATAATAGCCAAATACCCATTTTATGGACAGAAAAAAGTAAGTTTGTGTATAAACATTTTCTAAAACTCCTTTTGTCATTTTGCTATGTCCACTTGAATTTTCTACTCTGGACATACGCTGACCATGAGAGAAACATTTGAACCTTTTTCTATTGTTTGTATTAATAATAATGACAATTAATTCAGCAAAGTTATTTTTTCACTTTTTAAATAATTCTGTATATTTTTAAGAGAATATAATTAAATTGATTATTTTGACTTATTTAGACAAGTCTATAAAAAATTTTCTGATTCAATTGACTAATTTATAGTCATGGAAAATGTCAGATGACAACAATGGCTACTACAAATACTGCAATCTTTTAAAATTGTTATGCAAATTAAATGTTGTCACTTGTAAACATAAATTGTTAGTAACATATATAAGAAGTTCATAATAAATTCATTATGTGTTTGCTGTTTTGATCCACTGAGAATAGGTGATGATACAGAGATCTTTTATTATGCAAATTATAAAAGTGCATGTCATATAATAATAATTTATTGTTTAAGGATTCTTTATAGATCCTGGAACTGCAATGACATCATGTAAACGCATAGATTTTTACAAGTTGGACTTGCTAGGGCCAAACCAAACCCTACTCCATTATGTGAGTTTGGGACTTTGTTTGAATTCAGTTTTCCTTCTAGACTGGCTGGCTACTCAACACTAGAAAGTTCGATCTATCCTACTATTTTACTTATATAGTCATCTAAAACAAATTATCTAAATCCTTTTATTTGGTTTCTGGAACTTTGTCTTATTGTTATGTTGTTTTTAATCTTAAGCGTCGCTGTAAAGAACTTGAAAGTAAAGGATTTCTCTATATTGGAACCGGAGTCAGTGGTGGTGAAGATGGTGCTCGTTATGGACCTTCAATGATGCCTGGAGGATCTGATGCTGCTTGGTAATAAAATTTACTTTTCAACTGATTTATTATTTAATAATTGTAACAGTTACCAAAGGAACTAGTATATATGTTCCCAGGTTTCAAGACTTTGCCACTTACTAGCAGCATGGTATCAATAGCATTGAAATTATGAGAATAATTTTTAATGTTATGTAAAAAATATGAAAATAGTCATTTATCACATACATGCATTAGGGAAGGTCAGTTTTAGGACCATGGTATACACTCAATTTGAAAGTTGGGGTTTGACATGATAAATAATGACACAATCTAGATTTTTCCAAATCCTTACTGTTTTTTGAGGAAACCTGTTTGAAGATTAAGTTTAGGTTAAAAATTGTAATGTAATTTCATTCCAGTGATTAGTGAAAGCCTTATAGCACAGCCTCATAAAATTTATAATCTTCTGAAGCTTTATAAATTTTATATGGACAAGATGCATGGCACAAGCACATTATTACTAAATCATTATACAGTCAAATAAGACCTTCATTTGCTTCAAAGGGAAATTATACTGAACAATTTAGCTATATTATGATGTAATACTTTATACAGTGCAGTAGTTTTAGTGCCATTTTCAATAAATGCAAAACATTTTGACTTCTAATTTGTGCCCAACAGTATTATATACACTTTTATCTATATTTTTGTTTTTTATTACTTATGAACTAACAAATCTTATTCATTGAGTAGCCTTTTTTGTAATCTTTTACAATTTTTTTTAGGAGTAAAAAAAATCTCATGTTGTTTTTCATAATTAGAATTCTGGTTTGAATATATTTTTCATTCAATGTATCTAATATGAAAGATCAATTTTATTTGGATTTTATTCTTGAAATAGTAAAATTTTGAAGTTTGTAAGCAAAAACCTGTGGAAATTAGGTATTTCTGTCCATTTTCTTCAAATGATCTTTAAAATGCTCAAAAATTGGTGAAAGCTATGGATCTAATTTTTGATGGCGGTACTCGTTACATCAAACCCCAGCTTTCACACAGAGTGCAATGTCGATTTTTCTATAAAAAAAAAAAAAAAAGTGAAAATCAGCCTGCCCAAATATACATACATGTGTTTAACTGTAATTTCTGTAAATCTGATACCATGTGATCCTTTAGTAGTAAGGAAACTACCACGCATCCTTTTACCTACTCTTGGTCAAAGAGGCAACTTGGTAATTCTGCTCTCTACTACTATTACTCTCTGAAATTTTCCTAAGACGCCATGTGTCCATTTATCACCTTTTTTGAGTTTTTTTTTTTTTTGGTTTCCGTTTGAAAAAGTCTTTCCTTGTTTTTGTATTTCTTTGAAATATATTTTGTTTATCCATTTCCCCTTTTGATATATATTTTTTTTGTTCCTCTCTAACTATCAAACCCCTTCCTTTTAATAGTTGTAACATCTTCGGTTCACTTGTAGAATCTTTAAAAGCTTTCTTTGCATTCTTTTTGAAAGCTCAAGTATTTGAGGTATGTTTTGTACAGATAGTGCAGGAATTTCAGTGTATTGAAGCAATTTACCTAACCTCCATGAGGTAAGATTTGACACAAGGTCTTTTTTTATGAGGTGCCCATAGGAATGCATATGGACCAAGGATAAAATTTTCACTGTTTATGTGGGATTAAATAAAGGGTTGAGTTTAAAATTCTCTGAAGTCTCAAGAAGCAGCTGATTGAAGGTCAGAGGGCACAATGGCCAAAACATTGTGATAGCTGCATATAAGTAATCTTGTGTCAACTGTTATTTAAATGGATTTTCCAAGCATTGTTTTTACTACTGATTACAGACAGGAATTCCTTGTATTACTGGTTTGTGTTAAAAAAAAAAAAAATGAAAATAATCATTGTTATTGACCATTAGTTGTAATGAAACATGTTCATGCTTCATACTGATGTTTTTTCCCCTTATTCAGGAAATACACCATGAAAACATATGGAACACCTTCATTATACCTATTGTTGTGAATGGGTTGGTCTGATCAGTATAATTGCTACAACTATAGGTAAAATAAGACAGTGGACTCTTTAGCATTGGAGGAAAATCACTCAAATAGGAGAACTATGAATTCAAAACTACTCTCCTTTTTTTAAGAATAGTCATGACAATTTACAATTTGATGATATTAAAGAAAAAGAAGCTTTGGAGGATATTGGCTGTGGTCAAACAAGAAGAATAATGGGCTCTACTTGCTAAATCAGCAATCAGGTGATTGCTGATTTAGCAAGTAGAGCCCATTATTCTTCTTGTTTGACCACAGCCAATATCCTCCAATTTGAAGACTTTCATTGGTCAGGGACACAAAGCTATTGATTCCATTGAGTGGGAACCCTCTGCCCTAGCTGTTGACTTCAGTCTAGGAAGCTCTCATCCCAGTCTACTCCATTGTGCTAGTTGGTTGCTAACCAAACAAACAACCTACAAAGGGTTGATAATCCATAGAAAACAATCAATAACTGTACAGATTGATTGGCTCTTTGACAGGCCTTATTTTTAATTTTGCTGGGTAACCACCTTACTCTCTGACGAAATCTGTTTAGAGAACCAGTTGAGTAGCCAATGACATGATAATGTAGCATTAGGTTACATGCTAAGCATGGCACTTGTAGAGTGACCTGACATAAAAATTTCATTCACCAATTCTATTTTATATAATTATTTTAATGTTATTTGGGGAGATAATTATTTAACATTTTTATTTCTATTTTACCCAGGCCCTATGTAAGGAACATATTCCAAGCAATTTGTGCTAAAAGTGGTGATGAACCCTGCTGCGACTGGGTATGTACTATTTGTAATCTGTAGTAAATTATTGCAAATCAAAGGAAGTGAATTTCCCATTAAACATGAAACAAAGTAATTATATTTTTATTAAACCAATTTAGAAATCACATGTATATATTTTGGAAGCATGAATGAATGGTAATTTTGTTGAACAAGTATGTCAAAAGGTTTATTAATTAAAAACAAATGGCTTAAAATAAGATCAGTGATTATATAAGCATCTCCTAAGTTTATCTTAGTCTGATATAAGTATGATGTCTCTAGAAAGAGAAACTTACCATCCACAGGTAAGGATCTGCTGGAAAAGTTCATTAACCATTACTCTGTCAATATGGACAATGGAATATGGTGAAGAATGTATAAAAGATGAAAGTAACTTTAAATTAGGTCTCCCCCCAACTTAAAAAAAAAAAATAACCTGAGGTTTAAAATGAATTCTTAAAAATGAAATTTTTTTAACCCAACAGTACTGTTTATTTAAGGTGTTGGCAGGTTTGACAGATTGATATTTATCTAATGTTGTTCTATGAGGACAAAAGTCATTAAGGTGATTGCCTTTTTATATATAATTTTTAAGTATTTAGTGATCTTAAGAATTTAATAAGATATTCTCCGTAATCTAATGTTTTATTCAATTTTTTTTCTGATAATGTCATGTATGCTCAGCACATTTATATACAGAATTCAAAATTCTTTTAAAAATATTGGTGTTTGATTATTTGTACTAAGCTTTTCAATTTATGATTAATAAATATAGTTTTCGCTTAAGAAGATCATCTAAAAGGGTCAAATTAATACAGAATTTAAAAGATTAAAAAAATTAAAACTTAAGCTGTTCTCTATTTACATTATTTGGACTATTGTCCTCATCTTTGTCGCCACATGTCCTTGAGGATAAAGGCGTTGGTTAGATCCAGTGACAGGACCCAAACAGTGTGAGTTCAATACCCAGTTAAGGCAGTGGAGAACTTGGAGAGGGGAATTAACAGGAGATAACTGATAACTGACATCCATTAAACATGGTACGTGGAACTAGAACAGTCTACCCCAGTGAGCGAAATAAAGGGTTCAGTTTGACATTCCAACCACCTGAAGAAGGCCAGAGTGTACAACAGCCGAAATGTTGTAATAAATATGGTGACAAAGATGAGGACAATAGTTCAAATAATGTAAATAGTCTACATAATACCTCATCTCAGAAATGTAGACAGATACTTAAGCTGTTCTAATTAAAATATAAGAAAAATGAAAACAAATCTTGTAAAAAATTTTTTTTTCTTAAGACAATAGTGTCCTTAATATATCTTATTTATAATGTTACAAGGCCCCATTTTGTCCTACTTCTTTACACTTACACTATAAAATACAAAACCTAATTTAAAATGATGACTTAGATCTGTAGCTACTAGATACCCTTTTTACCTTACGAAAAGCTTCCATTCACCAAACGCTTTAGATTTCATAATAATAGAATGGAACTTTCTACAAGTCTCTAGAAACTTCTACTGGGTTCTAGAGGACACAAAAAACATATATAAACAGGAGTTTGTACCAACTAGCCAGTTGCCTCCTGAACCCACAGCCACGACTATTGAGGCCGACTCCGATCCTTTTGATTCATGAACAAAGCTTCGACTGAAAGAATCTAAGTTCCGACAGTCCTCAAAAAGAAAAGGCTATCAGTAAATACTTCACCTTTTTTCCTTGATATTATTGACCAAACTCTTTTATTTTATATACATGTGAATATCTATTTTTCTAAGAAGAAAATAATATTATTCTTTGACTAGCAACAAATTCCCATCCGTCGCCTTAATCTTAACTGTATTTAGATTTCCTCTCCCACTCTCTCTCATAGCTACACGTTAAGCCAACTACTTTATCTGGGCTATCACGTGCTTATTAACTTTTAGCATTTCCCAATGTATATTGTTTAAACCTCAGCCCTACTGTTTATAAAAAATATTTTATTATATGTTAAATAAAACCCATTTTTCGTTATTACATGTAATCTTTTCTTCAACTTTAATTTCTAAGAATCTGTTTCATCTTATTTTGTGTTGCACTGGCCATAACAATAAAAGTAATTAAAAGCTTTTCTAATTAAATAATGTCTTAGTTTTATTGCATTTTTTATTGATGATTTAAATTCTCCAAGGGCTCCTGCTTTTAACTAATATAAAATATGAAGAGGGACAAAATTTAATTTTTGGAAATTTCATTAAATGGGGGGGTACAGATGTAAAACTAAAACATATTTTTACCAAGATTTTCTTAAAAAAAAAATTCTGACAATTATTTGATTTTTGCAAGAATTTCCAACTTAATGTGTTTTTTTACTGCGAGAAAAGTGACTAAAATTTCCTATACTAATCATTGCTGCCCCTGCTGACACAAGAAAAAAAACATTAAAAAATTTAAAATAATCAAAAAATATTTTGGTCTTTCTTCTTAATAATAACATAAACATTTTGATGATAAAACATTGTTTTTATCAAATTTGGGGCCTTTTTCATCATGCTCGCCACTTTTTTTCAACAAATTATTGGAGGTACCTACTTCAAATACATTAGATAATCATAATTGAAATGTGTATAATTTTTTTTAAAGGATTCTTAGTTGGACTGACAACATTTCAGCACTTTTAGATCATGTAGTATTTATAAATTCTTGCATCCTTTGTGTGATTGTATCTTCAATACTAATAATCAAAAACATTAAGTTGGTCACATAACCACCATGTTATCTCATAGGTTAACTTATCACTTATCAAAACTTAGTGTAATTTGTACACATAATGATGTATCACAATCAAAATATGAATATTAACAGAAGAAAATTATGAGTAGATAATACTAAAAATGCTATACAACACTCATTTTAAAGAAAATACTTGAAGCTGGCATTATACAAAAGAAGCAACCCACATTAAATACCATTTTTCAATATAGGGAGGTTATTTTAAAATGTGTGTTTTTTGTTTTTGTCAAAAAAAAAATTTAATAGTTTTTTCTGTCCTACATATAACATCACTTGTAACAATACATTTTTCATGTTTTTAATTAGAACTGTAACCATTATAAAATGTCATAGTGACATCTTTTTTTTATTTTTTAATTAGAAATGTAAGTCATAAAATGCCAGGATGAAGCTAATAAAAATTTTCTCTATGGCATTGATAAGATTAATGTTCCTGATAAGGACTAAAGATCAACAGTACTTTGAGAAAAAGATGAATTTTAGACAGTTTCTTTACAAATTTGAGCTGAATATGCAACAATTTATATACAAATTTAAAAAAAAATGAAAAATAAAAATAATTAACGATACCTTGTCAGTCAATCTTAATAAAACTTGTTTGAATGTTTCTTCTTGCCTGTGTATACGTTTTATTTATATACACACGTGTGTGTGTGTGTGTGTATATATATATATATATATATATATATATATATATATATATATACATGCACAAATCTTAGTTTAAAAGGATGATAGTAACTGAAAAACTTGGTGAAAATTAATATTTGATTAACAAACAAAAAAGTGAGGCTTATCCTCACTTTTTATTTAAAATATTTCAGTGTTTTTTTGCCATCCTCTTCATAATCTTGTATGACATCTGCAATGCATTTTCACAGTGAATCTACTACCTGAGAAAAAAGACTTTCATCAATTTCAGAAATTCTCTTTTTGCTGACTTCTTCCATAGATTAACTCTTCTCAGGGCAATATTTTTGTGAAGGATGGTTATTCCATTAAACTTAGTGTTCGCAGGTTTGGGTTACTTTGGTCAATACAGGGTTTTTGATAACCATTTGACCTGTTCAAATCCTTTTCTATATTCTCATCTTTTCATTAGTTGAAGAACTTCTCTCTACCACTCTTAATGTGCATTCTCACCAATTATATCACCAATGAGATTAAAGGAATAAGGGAAATGGAGAAGAATTAACCTCAGAAACATACTTCCCTTTTGAATTGTCTTTTAAGATCCTTGCACTTTTACTTAGCATACCATTTCCATGGATTTTGATGATATCTTGCAATTTCAACTTAAACAAAAAAGACTGCCAAACTAGGCACCAGCCTTTAAAAAAAAAAAAAAAAGAAAAAAATTTTTGCTAAACCAAGCACCAGCTTTAAAAAGACTGCTAAACTAAAACCCAACTGTAAAAAAAACCCAAAAAGACTGTGAAACTCAGCACCAGCCTTAAAAAAAATGATAAAGACTGCTAAACTAAGAGCTAAACTAAAAAATGAAATATACTGCAAAATTGTATACAAGCCTTTAAAAAAAAAAAAGACAAAAAAAAAGACCCATAAAACTAAACGCCACCCTTAGAAAAAAAGAAAAAAGGTGAATGATGTAAAATTTGTAATGAGTTTTTTGAACAAAGAGTTTTAGATATAGAGTGCTGTATCATTTTATATACAACATCTAGTTACTTTTTTACTTACAAATGTTTTTATTGAACTATAATTGTTTCCTTCTCATTTTTTTAGGTTGGTCAGGAAGGAGCTGGTCATTTTGTAAAAATGGTGCATAATGGAATTGAATATGGAGACATGCAGTTGATCTGTGAAGCTTATCACATTATGAAGGATGTGCTACATTTAACACCTACAGAAATGGCACAGGTTTGTTTTAATTTATTTTAGATTTTAACAAGTACAATTTTCTTTATTCCTTTCTAGTGCTTCATATTGAACCAGTTGATTCTGAAAACTTTTGAAGCACAAATTGAGGAGAATAATTGATTAGTTTCCAGGCTGAATTTTATACAACAATCTGTGAAACAAGAATGCAACCATGTTTTTGTATTTATTGTAAATTTAAGTTTTAAAGACTAGACTTGAATTAAAGATTAACATTTTCTTCATTCAAGGTATTTGATGATTGGAACAAAGAAGAACTGGAATCTTATTTGATTGAAATCACCAGAGATATCTTGCGTTACAAAGATAAAAGTGATGAGTTCTTATTAGAGAAAATTAAAGATACTGCTGGCCAGGTAAGTTCATGGGTGGAAGTTTTTTTTTTTTTTTAAATTCATATGAGTTTATTCATGCTGTCCAAAACTGATGGCAGTATTTAAACTTTTAATAATATATATGTATGATTAATTGCAAAATTACTTTTCATTTATGTGCAAGGTAAAAATATAGTTGTTTTATTCCAGTTTAACAGAAATTTCTGTTTCCTGTACATCCTCTGAAGAGTTTCAATACATGTAGGCAAATTGCCTCTGTTGAGAACTTTTCTGGGGACTTAGAAATTGTTTACTTGCATGCATACACACATAGATATGGGTTGATTTGTTTTTTACAGCTTATCAACACTTTGCAAGTTATTTAAAATCTAAAAACTATTTAGGACTGTAAGAGGTTGCTTACAGTATCCAGTGTTTCCAAGCAGTCTCTAAGTACTGAATGGGTTTGACACTGCTTAACTTTGGTGATGGAATGAGAACCGGTATTTTCAGTGTAGGAGATATATATATATTCAGTCATATGGATATGAGTTTGTGACCCTGGCTTTAACACTTTTGTGATCATCAGACAAAGTGGTTTATTTTTTTAAATTGAATCTATTTATGCTTGTTTGTGTTTGATTATGTTTAATGGTGGAAGAGGGAAATTCTCTTCTGTGTCTGTTTTGAGATCACACACACACAGATGTGTACGCATTATAGTTCACACAAACACCCATATAAACAATCTGAGATTAGACACAGATACCCATCCATGCATTTGAGCATACACACATACATACGCAATTGTAATCCTGTTTCGGTGTCAAGACTTTAGCGATGTTCTTTCAACAAGAGGCAGGTTGGGGTGTTCTTGGCTTTTTTCAGTTTGGCCGTCTGCATCGTCAGATTTACACTTCCAAATACGCATGTAGATGTGCACATACACTATTATTGGTCTGGGCTTTTCATCACCACATTGGTTAAGTGGGTTCTGTTTGTGGACATGATGATGATGTTTTGCATTCTCAGCACTGACTGCTTGTGTATTGTGACTATGTTGGTAGTGCTAATAATTGATGATATCATTGGTAATGATAGTTATTGATGTGTTAACAGAAAATTTAGCCCTAATGATGATGGGAATGAAAGTATAATGATAAACAAAAAGAAAATGTGACAATAATGACAATGGTAATTATGATAATAGTTGTTGTAACCATAATAATGATGATGAAAATAGTAAAAATAAAAAAAATAATAATAAAAATAATGACAATGGTAAAAAGCAGTACTAATGGTGTTAGAGAAGGTTATGAAGTGATTGTGGTAACACCAGTATTGATAGTGAAAATAATAGTAGTAGTTGTTTTCAGTAGGTGCATAAAGTGGTAACAACAATATTGATAGTGAAAGTAGTAGTGGTTTTTATAAAATGATATTAAAGTGTTAGTGGTTTTATCCCCTCTGATGGCTGGACTAAATGTCATGGTAGCGGCCGCGGGGGTGGTGGTAATGGCTGTAGCCGCAGGGGTGATGGTAGTGTAGGTAACAGTGCTGGAAGCTCTATTGAGCTGTATAAATTGCTATGGTGGTTATTGTTTGCGGTGGGGTTTTTTTCCGTAGTTTCATTTCTGGTTGTGATCAGATTTGTTGTAAGTATTATCAGTTTGGTATGAACTGTGATAATATATATTTATTTTCATGTCTGCATTTTGAAATTATTTCTGATCTTTGGTTTAGTAATTCCTTTTGTTGAGTGTGGGAGATTATTGCCACATTTTCATGTAGACAAAAGTAAACATCTCTTTGATATGTAATTGTAGGCATGTGCGGTTTTCATGATTTCACAGCTTACTTTTGGTATGATGTTTGTCTTTTAGTTGCCATATGTATGTGTATTGTGTGGTACTATTGGAGAATGAGTGGCTGTGGATGTATTTTCTTTGCTTGAATATTCCTTCTGTTGCGCCAATGTAGTACATTGTAGTGTTGTCTGCGTTTACCTTAGCTTTATATGCTGTGTTTATTTGTAGTAGTGGGCGTGTGGTTTTATTTCTGCAGTTGCATTGAGGGTCTTTGATTGTGCTCTTGCAAGTTATTACTTTTTGTTGTCGCTTTTATTATTTGTGTTACGTTTTTTAGTGCAGCTGTAGCTAGCTTTTACGTTATTTTTTAAAAATATTTTTGCTAAGGGTTTTATTACAAGGAAGTGCTTTTCTATTAGGTTTAGGAATGTCCTGCCAATAATGTTTGTTTTGTGTGTGTGTGTGTGTATATGTATGTATAATATATATAATTATAGGCACGTGGCTGAGTGGTTAGAACATTCGCTTTCTAACCATGAGACCCAGGTTCGAATCTCACCATAGTTGATTTGCCAGGAAGGGGACTTCCTCATGTTATCGGTCTAAAGGGGGCAATCCCAGCATACAGCACCTAATGGAAAGTGCCTGAAAACCACACCACAGGTTGACCCAAGCCTTGTAAGTGAAATTGGGTAGATGGAACACTGTCAATAGCTGTGCTAGCACGGTCACAAGTCATTGTGACAGGAGGTTTAAGTGCTGGCCTTTTTCACATTGTTGATCATGCTAGATAACATGCTTTTTCTCAGAAACTGTAACTAAGGTCTGCTCAGCATAGTTGTAGTATAAACCCCAGGTGGGCTCTGTGAATGTTGAACAAACTCAGATATGCTTGAGCGAGCGTCTGCAATGGGGATTAGCTAACCGCCATAGTAGGCAGGTATCCTCACATACAAGTAGCCATCTATATATATGTAATGTGTGTGTGTTCCTGTGTCAGGTGATCCAATGTTTCTGCTGTCTCGCTGTATATTTCCCACATGTCTTAGTCATTCTACTAGGAAATAAAAATTTTTTTTTTTTTCTTTATTTGCATGTTAAATTTCCTGAACGCTTGAGTAAGCCTTTTTCATTTTATTTTTAATTCAAAAAATCTCATTTTTTGTTTTGTTTTTTTTTTTTTAAATCTGTGTTTTTTGAGTTAATATTCACCTGTATAGTGCCTAAGTGGTTGAAGTCCATACAGGTGCAGATGCTGCTAAACAAAAACAATGAACCAATCCTAAATGTTTGGAATGGAACTGTATTGTTTCATTGGAACAACTTGTATTTGAAGGGAAAAATAATTTTGTGACATAATTCCTGCTTTCTAAACAATTGACAAATTTCTGCATTTTTATTTTCCCCCCTTTTTTTTTTTTCTAGAAAGGAACAGGAAAATGGACAGCCATAGCAGCTTTACAATATGGAACTCCAGTCACTTTAATTGGTAATGTTTTATTTTCTTTAAATGCAAATATTTCTTCTGACCTCATTTATTAAATTTATAAATTTATTGAACATTCTTAATGTGTGCACTGACTAAAATGTTATGAAGGGTTTTAAAAATCTAATATTTGTAGTTGTTATTGACCTAAAAGAAATTAGATTTAAATGTTTAAAGTTGGTACTTTGCAGTTTAATGTGTAAATATTTTATTTGCAACCATGAAACTGTTTTGGTTCAATGATAAAAATATCTCCATTTGCTACTTTGAAAACAATGAAGTCAGTTTAATGCATACAATTGCTAGGTTATTTCTATTGATGCATAATTCCTTGGTATTTATGTTCCTCAATGTCATTAGAAATTATTTAGATAAATAGGAACACTTAATGTGATCTTATAACTTATTTTACCAAATGGCATTAATGTTGTCTATTTTACATTATAAAAACACAGTTTTTCAGTGATTAAATACTCATGTTATAGACATTGTCATAAGTTCTATACAAATTATGTTCTATAAAGCCTGCCACTCTGATTACATCAAAAGCAGATTGGCCTGCCCGTCTTGTTACATCGGAGACAGTTTTTTATACTTTTTATGTAAACTTTATGCAGTTCTTGATTTATAATTGATTTTGTTTTTAAAAATTTCATTAAAAAAAGAATTTGATGAATTCAATATAAAAAAGGCATTTCTTACCTGTCTATGACCCACGTACATTTTGCCTTGTCAAAACTGTGTTTCCATTTCAGGTGAAGCTGTCTTTGCTCGTTGTCTATCAGCTCTTCAATCTGAAAGAATTGAAGCCAGTAAACATATTAAAGGTCCTGAAATTCCAAAATTTACTGGGGATCAAAAACAGTTCATCAAGGACATCAAACTAGTAAGGAGAAATTTACTCTTTTTTTTTTTTTTTTTTTTTTAATAATTTCATCGAAAGCAAGGCAATAATGCTACTAAAACACAAGGTGTTACTGGGAATGAAAGAGAATAGGGAGACTTCAATGAGAAAAACAGGATTCAGAAAGATGTGATGGGCATTGCATTTAAATTTTTGAAAATTGTAGATGGCAAGGAAACTGGAAGAGTTCCACAGGCAAGAAATTCAAGAAAGGAAACTATTAAAATAGAACTTAGTTACATCTGGCTACTTCAGCATTAAAATGATGAGACCTAGTTGCCAATCAAGTAGAACACTTAAAATTATGCCATTGAAGTGCCAAGAACTAATTAGGACAAATGCCTTGAAAATATTTATAGAAAAGACAGAGGGAAAAGCAGTGGGAAAGTGACAGAACTTGCAATGTCAGGATAGATAATAGACATTTCTTTGAAGATTTTGCATGTATACAAGTGCATATGTGGGCTGATTAGAGAAGAGCAAATAATATGTAAAATCGTTGCTGACATTTATTTATTTAAATGATCACTGACTACTTCAATTATTTATTTGGCTCCTGATTACTTTAGATTAATTTTGCTGAAAATCATGGTTGAATACAGAATGCATTCAACACTGTTTACTTGTCCTGTTTAATCTAAGGAGAAATGTGCAATGGAAACTGGGCTTTGTTTTTTTTTTATGCTCTGTCCCTTTAGGACATGAATGATCATGACTTTCCAAATTCCTTTTCTTTAATATTTGTGCCTTGCCATGCATTCTTAGGAAAGATAGTGGAATGGTTTCCTGTTCTACCGTTTGGAATTCAGAGTTTTTCTTCTCTTAGACTGGTTGCCACCCAAGGCTAAAGAACCCAGTTTACCCTGCTATTTAACTCATAGCTGAGAGGAAAGAAGGGCATTTGTGCAAATGTGACAGGCTAGTCTGGAATTTGAATTCTACATGCTGATTACATTTTTTTCTGGTGATATTTATTACACCACTTGCACACTCACTAGGTAATCAATTGCTGAAATTTATCATAATGATACAGTAGGTGCAAGCATGCTGAGGATGATTTGCAAAATTTAAGTAAAGAATATTTTGAGTGTAAAGATAAGGAATCTAGAAGATCTCAGAAGTTGAAAACTATTCAATTGCAGGAAATTTTGAAGGAGTGTTTGCAAATGTTAGAAAAAGTTAAGAAAATAGGTTTTGTATAAATTTGCTTAAACAAATGTTAGTTTTTCTCCTCTTCTTTGAAACAGAAAAGTAACTAACTCTTTCTTGTGCATTGTCTCATCTGTGCTCTGTCACCTGCTAGTCTGTGTTTTGTCAAGCACTCTTTCGCTTCCGCGCTGTGTCAGCCACGTGCTCTTTTGCTTTGTCACTCTTTCTCTTTTGTGTTTTTTCTCTCTCTCTCTTTCTCTTTTTCTGTGTCTGTGTCTCTCTCTTCCTCTCACATTATAAAAGGTAGTACTAGAAAAAGGTCCGGAATAAACATAACCCTTCTATTTCTTGAAAGATTCAACACATGAAGAAGTCCGTTGAATGACACATCTGAAGTTTTTAGCAACAGCAAAAGCAGCACATTAATCTGAGGAAATCAATGGTTAGCCTCAACCTGTAATTGATTTCTCTACAAATACATAAGATTCCTTGATTGAAATTGCTTCAAAAGATCCCAACAGATGTAATCATTTTTTAATCTCCTTTCCAGGCTTTGTATGCTTCAAAGATTGTATCATATGCTCAGGGATTCATGTTGATGAGGGAAGCAGCCAAAGAACTTGGATGGAAGTTGAACTATGGCTCCATTGCACTAATGTGGAGAGGAGGATGCATCATTCGCAGGTCAGTTAAGCTCATGTATTGTTTACATAACCCATGATGTCACAGGTAGAATTTCATTGTCTCTAATTATATAAGTCATGCTAGTTTGAGTTTTATCAATTCTCTCCCTTTAATGCCTTGACCAGTTGGTGTTAAAATAATACTTGTGGCTTACATTATCTGTTGGAAAAAATGGCCCAGATTGATTTAGGTTTTTATATCTTTCTCCTCCCCACACACACACTATGAAAGCAAATGTTAATTTTGTTTTATTTTTACTGGTTTTGTCATGCTGAAGCAAAGGAATATATAAAGGGTTCTCCCATTAATTCATGCCCACAATCTGCCAAAATACCTTTTTATTGCTGCTGAAATAATTGCTGAGACCAATGTAAGCAGTATAATTGAAAATTTGTTTTCAAAAATTAACTTCTGATTGGTTGTTAATTTCTCAGGGTCACATGACTTTTTTCCAACTGATTTATTCACTTTGATATTTTTTAATTCTTCACAAAAATCAACATTAAAATCAGTCCCATATATTTTCTTTTTCCTGGCTTGCTAATGTCGTGTTGCTCTGGCTCGAGTCCTGGATAATGTTGTTTTTTTTTTTTTTTGTCTGAATTTCTGGGATGAATATTTATCATTATTTATATCATTTATATTCATTTTATTGTCTTCATCTTTGTTGTTATCACTACGTTTCGCCCATGGTACACTCCAGCCTTCCTCAAGTGTATATCAATCTGGGTAACCTACAGGGAATTCTGAACTGTGAAGAATTTCTTTAATGTATTTAAAATAGCACGGGAAATTATAGAGAAAATGAAAACAACAATTACAGATGGATTTTAGTACCAGTTGCATTTGAACCTGGTAATGTACTTATTGATTTTACCCTCAATTCCCTACTGAGCTTTAGTTATTTTCTGTATTTTTTTCTTATTAATGTTATGTCCTTTCAGGTTGCAGGCAATCAAAGCTCTCCACAGCTTCCTTTTTTTATTATCTGTAAATTACCATAACCTCTTGGGAAAGGTAGTAGAGTGATTTCCTGTAGCTTTCTCTCAGATTTTTTTTGAATTCTGAGTCACCTTTCACCTAGACTGTCATCCAAGGTACAGCCTATCCTACCTGCTATTAACCTCTAGCTGGAGATGGATTCATGAGGTGTGAAAGAGAATGAAACAGATTAGTTGAGAATTTGAACCTTTTTTGACAATTTCATTTTCCATATTGATAACTATTATGCCATCCACGTGTTCTCTAAATATTTCTGGGGGTGGGAGATTATGATTAAAAACAAATTTTGCAGGTTTTTTTAGCCAAGAACTTGTTTGAACAAGTATCAATATTCAATCTGTATTTTGAATTCAAGTAAAGATATTCTCTTCAGGATGGAGCTGATCAGGCCACTCTAAAGCTTCCATTTCTTTGTTATATATGAATTGCCATGATTCTCCTTGGGAAAGATACTAGATTGATTTCCTATTGCTTTCTCTACAGTGTTTGTATTCAGAATTGTCCCTCACCTTGACTGGCTGTCATTCAAGGCTAGAGTGCCCAGCTTATTTAACTTTTAGTCAGGCAGCAAAGAGATGAATTCATGCCTTTTCCAAGAGTGTTTGTGTCAAAGTTCAGTATGAAAGTGAATGCAACAGATTAGGCAGGAACTTTAACTTGGCTTGTCATTTTCACTTTCTGCACTGATAACTGTTACGCTACCCATACATACTCTCTGGGTAGTAAAAAAAAAAAGAAGCTATACTAATTCAAATTAGTGTTTTACTTTTCAATGTTACCACCAGAATATTCTGTGTTCCTGTATATGTAATTATTAGAAAGGATGATAGGTTTGATGTCATCTCTCTCCTAAACCTGATGAAAATTTTTTTTATTATTATTATTATTTCCCAGGTACTGTTTAACAGAGCAAGGGATTTTTCACATAGTATTTTTAAATATAATAATTGAATACAGGATAGACATTAAAAAAAAAAAAAGAAAAATTGAAATTGGGGAAAATAAAACAAACCACAAAAAATGATGGGGGTGTGGAGAAGAAAAGAGTTAACTGGTTATTGCTGTTCACTTTTCAGAACTCGATCAAGGAGAGTAAAATTTTTGTGCACAACTGAAAAGAAAATTGGAAAACAATCGATGCTTAGTGTCAGACCACCTCTTCCCTTTATACAAAAATATTTTATTTTCCACTACTGAAGGCACTCTATAAACTAAAGATGATCTGTTAATCTTGTTAAACACAGTCTTTATGCAATTATCAATTTTCCAGTATATGATGCACATTTAACTTTTAAAAAGAAAATGAAAATATTATGCAAATTTCTCCTCTGTTCAATGACTACTGAAGTTTGAAATGAAACTGTAAGGTTTGGATATGTTACAATAAGCAGTCATCTTCAAAATATCCTTGTAAACAATGCATGTTACATATCTGGCAAATGTGATCAATTGCCATTTATTAAAAAAAAAAATTTGTTTATTTACTTTAGTGTCTTCCTTGGAAATATCAAAGATGCCTTCAAGAAAAACCCAGAATTAAGTAACTTGTTGCTTGATGATTTTTTTAAAGGTGCCATTTCAAAGTGTCAGGTAAGTATTTTTGTTATCAACACTTTTTAATGTAAGTTCTAGCTCAATAAAATTACAGCTCATCTGCAATCGGAAAAAAAAAAAAAAAATATTTAAATCTCATTAGGTTAAAAAAGTAAAAAATAAAATCAACATAAGGGAGACAACTTTTAATACATTCGCGCTAATATGTAATTAATACAACTGCAGTTGTCCCCCTTATATTTAAAAAAAAAAAAAATGAAAAACTGGAGAAAATTTAAGGAAAAATTTCCCATCAATTAAGCTGAGTAAATTTGTTAATTTTTAAACTTATGATTTTGTTTTAATAAAGTTGGGTCTACTCATTCCCGCCTTCCGTTAGGCACTTAAAAATACCAGAATTAATTTTTAAGTATTCGGATATGTATAAAGACTAAAAAATAAATGTAAATCCTTGTAGCTATGCTTAGTAAATAAATATTATCCTTGAATTAGGACAGGATTCTATCATCATCTTATCAGGAGTTAAATACCTCCTCATGTTGGATGTTTTTGTTGGGGAATAAGTGCTGAAAAGTTCCCAGCCTAAGCAAGAAGCTCTCCCCCAAAATTTCTAATGCTTGGGTCAGATTTTGCTAAGTGAACCAGGCTAAGAACCTTTCAGCACTACACTGATAACGGCATGTGATGTTTCAAGTTAACTTTAAAATACTATTTTAACTATTGAGATATGCACAAATATATATATATATATATATATATATATATATATACACATTGAGTTGTGTTATCCATGAGAAAAAAAGTCTATTAATATAAATAGCTATATCACACACAAGTGGACATTGAAGTCAACACCCAGCAGTGACCATCTGTTTCATGCTTAAATGCAATTGGAAGCCTTGACAGTTGTGTTTAAGCATGAAAAAGACTGTCACAGCTGATTGTTGATTTCAATGTCTACTTTTATATTTACATACACTCTAAACTTGATATTGAGAACTTTAATCTATAAATATAGCATACCATAAAATATATTTTTATCACACATACACATATATATGACAGTGTAAAAAGAATTTTGTCTTTAAACATGTCACACAAAAACTTTTCCCACTTTGTCATGTTTTTTTTTCCCAACAATACTGTACATTTTATATATATAAAAATTTGTCTACCACCCACCAGTATGTACATTCAATACCCAGGTCAGAATCTGTATCCTCCTTCAGGTGTGGCCATTTTATATATGAGGAGGTGCTGAAAAAACTTTGACCCAGCCCACTTCTCAAAATCAATATTCTGGCTTTATTAATTAAAATTCACTCATTTTCTTTCTCTCTCTTAAAGGAAATTAAGAGGGCTTAGAACATTTCATCACCCCTTCCCATCTCATATAAAAAAGAAATTTACAATATTGTCTTTTATTTCAGGAGTCATGGCGCCGTGTTGTAGGCACTGCAGTATCCTCTGGTATTCCAACACCAGCTTTCAGTTCAGCATTGGCATTTTTTGATGGTTATCGCTCAAAACGTCTTCCTGCTAATTTACTTCAGGTTTGTAAAGCAATATATTTTTTTACCCAGGATAAATATCTGTCCAGCTTTAATAGCATACATAACATGTATTTATATCTTCATGCTGAAAATAAAAATCCTGATTTCCAGGTAGATTTCTATCGACATCTGTGGGGATTGAGGGAACAGATCATTTCAAGGGTAATGGTACAGTACAATTGTTTTATGTAATTCTGACTATATATTCCAATTTCAAAAGACTCCTTTGTTTGTGATAGTCATTTTTTTATGTTCATCAGTATAAATTTGATGACTGATTGTATACAAAAATATTGGTTTTGTGATACCAACCAATATTTCCCTGTCTTTGTATCTAATTAATCCTTTTAACTCTCCATAGAAAAAGAATTTACACACCATCCCTCTGAATATATGTTTTTATTTCACTTGTATACTCTGTAATTTATACTCTTGTGGCCCACGGCTAATTTTTTTGATGATCAATGCTAGCTCTTCACATTCTTTAATGGTACATGTCAAGTTTAACTCTTCCCAGTTCAGTAGTGTTGCTGCTATGGTCAGTTTGTGAGTTAGCAGGTGTCAACATCATATATAACAGGCATTTGTTTGTGATTGTGGAACAAGCTTGCCAATAAGAATATAACCTTTTGCCTCAGTAAAAAAAAAAATGTTTACATAACAGGAGCATTAGACCTGATGTGACAGCAATGATGCATGGATGAATAGTAAATTAATAAACGTTCAATTTGGTGAGAAAAATTGTCTAGTATGACAAATTTGTTTTTCTTTTCATGGATTACTTGCCCATCCTATGGGGGATAGAGAAAGAAAAACTAATGAATGACAGCAATCCATCATTTTGTTAGACAAAAACTGGACAGATTATTTGTTATCTAGTTCCCATCTTAGTTTTATCTCATTATTTCATTTAAGAGCCAAGAAACTTAATTAGGTCATCAAAATAATTCTGTTCTCCTTCAAACATTTTTCTTTTTTGTTTCTTGTCTTGTATAAACCTCTGTGGGTTATCCTACTTGACATTGCTAAAAAAAAAAAAAAAAAGAACATTGCCAGGAGGCACTCCTTAAGCCTATAAAAAGGCATGCATTTCACTTCCTAGCTTCTTTTACAGCTTTTGAATTCTGGCCTTCAGATGTAGTCATACGTGGGTAATATTTGTTTTCATGGTTTACTCTCTTGACTTTTGTACTTGCGCGTGTATGCAAGCTCACACATTCTTATTATATCATGTTATTCCTTTTGTCACATGTAATTCTTTTGTTAATACATGTATTATTGTTTTATATTTTGTGTTACAGTTTTTACTTGGACTCACATTGAGTCCACCAATTTTGTTTGTGGGATAAGTTTTCCAGAAGCCTGTAAATATTTACTATCCAAAGTGTTAATTCCCTCAACATAATGGTGACTAAATATTTACCCAAATATACTAGCATCCCACAACACCTCCATCCAGACATTTGGCTTCTTTCTTGTCCAAACATTTTAATTTATGTTCAGATCTTATTTTCTCCAGGCCTTTAAATCACAATAGGAAATTCTGCAAACTGATCCCCGGATATTTCTGGTATACAAGCAAAAACTAAATTACCTATTAACTGAAGTTAATCCCATTTCAACCAGGTGTAACTAGCTTGTAAAATCTGTGCACGTTTTTTGACAAAGAAAATGGAAAAAATAAATCAGATAGTTTTTGCTTTAAGCATACGTTACATATGGTAACTTTTTTTTAATCTTCCCCAACTATCACAATCAATTTTTTTTTTTTAATAATGTTCAACCAATACAAGGCCTAAGGTCCACTCAAGGTAGAGCATTACTGTGTAGAGTTTTATTAGCATAAGAAAGGGCAAGATAATATGAAAGTTAAAAAGTTAATTCCAGACTTGTAAAGGCCAAGATTTAATTAGAAAATAAGATTTCACAGTTCAGAGATGTTAGGAATATAGAGTTGAAGTAGAATTTAGAAACAAGGGGTGAACCTCTACTCTTGTTCAAAAGACAGGAGTGTGAATTGGATGATAGACAATCCTATCTACTCTTATCAACAAACTTTACCTTCTCAATAAAAGCCATTGCTTTTCTTGACAAGGATGGTGTAATTTTTGGTTTGTGAGCAAGAATGAGTTTACCACATCCGAATCTGTAATTTGCATCTGTTGTTTTCTATATTGCTCATCTTTACTGCTTTTTTGATTTGTAATACAAGCCATTTTTTTTTTTTTTTTTTTTTTTAAAATAGACTATCCTTGTTGTTTTGGACTTGTGTTAACAGATTGAGATGTCTATTTTAATTAGTTACATTTTTATATTTTCTTGCAGGCTCAGAGAGATTATTTCGGGGCACACACATATGAGCTTCTTTCTAACCCTGGAAATTTTGTACACACAAACTGGACTGGCCATGGGGGACAAGTTTCCTCAACTACTTACCAAGCTTAGAATATCCACTGAAGACTGAGTAATGTGTGGGTGAGGTTATTCAGGATCAGGATTGCCTTCTCTGGTCATTTGTGTATAATGTTATATTTCATGCATTAGAAAATGAAAATAAAACTATTTAAAAAAAAAAAAATTGTGAAAATGCTTGTATTTTGCTGGGTGGAAATGAACTTATTTTTTATGGTGGCTTTGATGTTACTGCAATGGATTGGCTGACTCAGTGTTGGCTTTACATATAAAATGTGTAACCAATATTTAGCAACCAGTAGAATGTGGCCTAATCAAGGAACAACAAATAGTTTCTTTTTTGATAATCTTGTGTAGTAGGTTTGCTGTCACTTCCCTCCACACACACTTTTTTTCTTTTTAAATAGACATTCAATGGTATCTATGATTCATTGATTATTACTCCTGGTATTATATAAATTGCTTTTTGATCATTATCTTTTTATTTGCTTAATATAACAGTGAAATATCTCTTGGAAGAAAAAGATTAGCAACAGAATGACAGCTTATTTCAAGACCAAGTTGAAGCAAGATGATCACTTAATGGACAAAGGTATCTCAGTGTCTCACCCAAAAGACTTGAACAAATAAGACTGCAATCAAAGAAACATAGAAGTAAAGGAATCAACTAATTAAACGGTTCATTTTGTATAGATTATAATTTTTACCTCCCTTTCCACTACAGATAGGACAGGAAATATATAGATAAATATGCATTATTATAGGCTTTGATTCTTTTTTGGATTATACACCTAGATAAGGTTATGGAATAGATTTCTGTCTTTGGGTGGGAAGGTGGTATAATGGATAGTCTCCCCAGGATGAGAAATCAGAGTAGTTTGAATCTGTTACATGCAAATACCCTTGGGAAAGGTATTAATCCAGCCCCCCTCCTATGACTATGTTGGTATTAAATAACCTTCACAGGTTCTTCATTTTAGAAGAGAAAAAAAAAAAAAAAAAAAGCCTTTTCCAGGAAATATTGGAATACATTAAATCATTTTCATTGTTCTCAACTTGCCTATTCTTATATTCATCTTTTGCAGGACTTTGCAATGTCACTTTTGCTCAGTTAAATACATAATGACATCACAAAAATAAGCAGTGACCTTCAGGATGTAAAAATAATAGTTGTTACATTTATTGCATAACATGAATATTACTCTAACAAATAGGATCGGACAGAAGTAGTACTTTTTTTTTTTTTCCTTTTCTACCTGACTGTCACAGCTTATTTCAGCAATGCCCCCTATTTTTCTGTCTCTTTAATTGGGTGAAAGAAGCAGAAGTGAGATGACAAAGGCCAACACATATAGCACCTGAAAGAAAGACAATGTATTCATGTATAAAAATGTTTATATTTCAAGTATGGCAAGCCCATAATGATTTGAAAAATAATTGGAGTTAAAATTTTTTTCATCTCCAAACTTATCAAGAAACATAGCAAGCAATTGTTTTAGCAAAGTCAGTCAGTCAGTCAGTCAATGATTAAATTTTTTTTTTTAAGTAGTAGTATGTCAGCTCACCAAATAAGCACTGGTTAATTCATCTTTAAATTTGGCTTTGAAGACCTGGAGAGGAAATGAACAATTTCATAATCTTCGTACCAATGCCCTACAATCAAATTAAGTTTTAACAGGCGGAACCAAGAGGTTTAATCTTTACCAAAATTCAACAAATTTGGTGGTTTGTCAATTCTGTAAAGAGTTTCTGGCACAGAGAAATATGCTCGGTATGCCACTTCATCTGGAGTGATATCATAGTGATAATGTCCTCCTTCACCGTGGTCACTGAAACAATGGAAATGTTCCTCTCGAAGATCCAAGTCCTATTTGGAAAAAGAAAAAGTTATTTGTATTCAAAGAAATTTTTAAAGTACATTGTTCAAGTGTTGGCCTCTGCTCTTCCTTAGAACAATAACTGGATGATTTAAGTGGAAAACCAAAATGGCCAAGGTAAGAAACTGATTAGAAACATTCATCAATATTTGTTTTATGTGGATTAATGGTAGGTTTAAAAGAAATAAAATTTATAAGGAACAAATTTGGTATTAATAATTTGAATATAAGAAAAATACATTCTTCAGAATAGGCTGTACTAGTAGTTTTGTCCAACACTGCAAATTGTCACAAAACCAAAACATTAACCTAAAATCTATTAAGAATGTCATCTCTTTGCTCATTAATTTCACTGCTTGTAGAGAGAAATTAGAATCATCTTTTCTTCCCTGATTCCATTCTCCTGTTGCTGATGTCCTACTGAGAGAGAGTGACATCCATTTACCTCTGAATCACAACTGTACCGATTGCCTTAATTGCTCTGTTAAATTCCCAGACTTGCTGCTGCCAACTGCCCAACCTTCTAATACTGATTTCCTTACATGATTCTTGCTCATTTGTCTGATGAAATGCACCCAAGTGTCTAGTCAATTCACACACATTCTTCAGGCCAAAGTTTTTGCACCCAAATCCTACTCAAAGATTTCCTGGGAGAAGTGATGGGCTTGACAATCCAAATTCTCTTTTATTTGATTTACTTGGGTTGTATGCATTTATTCAAATTTGTATATTCAATTGTAAGTTTAAAAACAATTTAATAATAACAGTGCTTTATTCTAGAAATTCTGAAAGCTTAAAACTATTATATCAACAACTACTAAATGTAAAAAGTATGGTATAGTATGAAAATCAGACAACGGTTAACAGAAGAATAATGAATTAAATCTCCCAGACAACCAACTACAAAATATGACTTACCAGAGCCCTTCATCAGATTATTCAGCAAAAATGGTGCCAAATCTAAGTGCCAGCTTAATTTCAATTAAATAGTGAGCAGGTGATCAAAGGCAGTGACATTACTAAATCAAAATTTCCAAATCCAGCTATCAAAGTGAAAATGGAGATGTATGAAGTGGTATTAGATGATTAGATCTACTGGGAAAAGGAGGCTGATGTTAAAGACTCAAAACTCCCAGTTATAAAACATCACTGAAAATACACACACACTGCATCAGAAAAGCATATTTTTTTTAACAGGATATATGAGTAATTTGAAATTTAACCTTTAGCACTCTGTAGGTGACTATTTTTGCACAAACAGAAAGTTGAATTTGAATTTCTTGGTTGTATAGTCAAATACTTCTAAAAGCAACACCAGGCTACTACAATTTCAAATATATAGAACTAATATATAAAACATTATATCTTGTAAGGATTCCATATACAGTAAAAGCAGAAGATTTATTAAAAGATGATGTAGAGTGCTAAATCACAGATTCTGAAGGAATTATAACTTACACTATCAATTAAGAGATAATTACCAAACAGCTCTGATGGTAGGCAGTGATATACTAGAAATGAACAGTAATAAATTCATCAACTTACTGGATCATGGGAAATAAGTTCCCCCAAGCAGACTAAGGGGGCCTTCATTTCATAGAAATGAAGCCAATTGTTCACTTCTTCCATGGAGTTAAGAGGTTTACAGGAAAAGTCTGGCTGAAAGAGTGAAAGGAAAAGAAACAGCAATTTAGATAGTAAATCTCAAAAGGCAAAATATACTATTTGACTATAAAAGTCAGTTGTCATTGCTTTGTCAAGTACATGGTGCGATGGTTAAATTGTCATCTAAATTGCACAAAAATAAAAACAACATGGACATCTTTTATGTTTGCCAAAATTACACAAAAATCTTAAAAACTAAAGAGTAAATTTATTCAATAAAATTGCCATTGGCTTCAACCACATCTTCCAGACGACTTCAGAACCTCTTGCAACTCTTCTGGATAGTCTCTTTGTTTAAGTTGGTGAATGCTGCCATAATCGTTGCCTTCATTTTATCGTTGGTATTACAAGGAGCTTTGTTGGTTTCTCACTCAACTGCACCCCACACATAATAATCAAGGGGTTGCAATCTGGGGAAAAAAGGAGCGATGTGGTTGCAGAAATTGTCTGACAGTCATGACTGTGTTCTCTTGCTTGTGTGGCACCATGTAGAGTCCTGATGCCAGGCATACGGTCTTCTAGCAGTCACCCTCTTGACCCAGGGCAACACTACCTCCTCAAGGCACTTGATGTAGGCCTCTGTGTGGAGTCTGAGGCCCTCACCAACAGATTTGGGAGTTCTTTTCTTATCAGAATGATCAGAGTGAGTTTTCCGATCTGCCATATCTTGGTAATCACCATTAGACAAATCCAACTCTTTCTGAATCCTCAGCAGTGTCCTCAGATTAACACCCAAACACTCTGAAATGTTTGTATGGGAGCTTCTGGCACAAATGCCAAGCAGTACAGCATGCCGTTTCCAAATTTCTGGCAGAATAAATTGCATTGTGGTGTTCTTTTTCTCAGAGACGGTGCCCAACTGACCCTACTATACTGTGCAGTCATCAAAATTAAAAAACAATGCACATGCACGAAATTAAAAATATAAAATAGCAACAATTTACCCATTGCACCCTGTATATGTCAAACGTGTTGATGAACAGGATGAGAAGATAGATAATATATTTGTAGCATGTGATTCCTGTCATGATTTACCAGAAGTCTGAATCAAATTTAATTTCAATGAAGATCCTTCGTCCCTGGTGTGGTTGTTCTACAATGAACCCAAATATGTACTGGGTTCACCAAAATAGACCTTACTTTCAGTCTTACACCAAGGCATCAAAGACTTGTAGCATCAAAACAAATTAATTAGAAAAAAAAATTATGAAGACTAGTTACATCAAGCAGGGGTTAATGAGAAAAAAAAAAACTGTTAAAAATCTTAAATCACATCAATATAACATTGCTTAGAACTTTAAAGGATAGGAAGTTGGGGAGAGGAAAGATCACCCATGTATTGTAAGGATATAACAGAAATTATACTCACCATGACATGAAGTTTTGCTTTACCCTTTTCAAGCAAAAATACACCAGCCAGTGCCACAGGCTTTGTGTCATATTTAGCTTTCAAGATCTTTCGTACTGTTGTAGGAAAGTTATCATCACCAACACGATGACTTGCTTTTATTTCCAAAACCTAAAAAGATAAATTTATATATATATATACACACACAGGTAATAATCCAAGTGAATCCTAATATTATAAAATATTAAGACTGGTCCACGAAAAAGCTCGATGCATTTATTATAACATATAAATTACATATAATAAAAATGCAAAGTTACCTCATTCAAAAATAGCTATTTCGACCCACAAAATTTAAATAGAGGATTTAAATGAACTCTCCAAACTATAGTAGTAGAGGCGTGAGTGTCTGGTCTAAATCAAGAAGACAGTTAAAATAACCTTGACTAATAGTATCCCCCACCATAATTGTAGAAATAGTGAACATTGTCCTGTTGATGGAAAATGTAAAACTTTGAATGTTGTTTACTGAGTAATCATTTACCCCCCCCCAAAAAAAAAAAAAAGAAATTAAACCACAATATTTACATTGGGATTTCCATGGAAAATGGAAATAAAGACTTTACATCCATAGGCACGCTTTTTCCAAAACAAAATTAAAATACCAAACTGCTCTTTACAAAAAATTTTAGAAATTGAGAGAGAGAAACCTGAACCCTCAGATTGACTGGAAATTCATAGGTTTTGCATACACTCTTAATAATTTTATGGGTAGATGTAACTTGTGTTTAGTAGAGAAGATTAGAATAATTAGATTCAATGATCAAAGCATACTACTAAACCAAAGGAATGAGTTAGTTTAAACTAATCTAGAATATTATTGATCTTGCTTAATCTGCTATCACCTAACACATATCGTTATTTCTACTCCATTTCAATCCTATTGAATAATCTTCCCCACTCACTTTAACTCTGACCAGGCCTATCAAAAATTTTGAAAACGAAAATGAAAAAACATTTTTGGCCAACACTACCTGTGAATGTGATCTGAACTATTTTAATGCGAGAAAATGCACTTCTAGCAGTAGGTCCCCCCTGGACAATGCACCCACCTCTCTGGAGATGACGCCCTCCTCCTCAGTAATACCTTGGTGATGGGCATGCTTCTGCCCAGTATATGACTCTTTCAGCATGTAATGACCATTTTGTGTTCTTGAGTTTTAACTCCTGACTTAGCATTTCTGTTTAGGATGAGTATAGTATCTGTGTACTTTAGCATCAAAATATCGCTTAGCTCCAATTCAAACGTTTCAATTATACATGTCACTGATTAGGATATTCACACGACTGTGGTAATCACTCCCTTTGGACTATTTGTGTTCACTAATACTGCTCAAACATTCCAGAGAGTCATAGACAAAGTTTTACGAGGGCTATCCTTTATTTTCGCCTATGTGGACAACTTATTAATAGCTAGCAACGACAAAGAAGAGCAGAGCCAATATCTACAACAATTGCTTAGTAGATTTATGCAGTATGGATGAAGGATCAACCTCACAAAGTGCTTCATGGGAATTAACAAACTTAATTTTCTCAGACACAATTTCAAAAGAAAGCATTACTCCTCTTCAAGAAAAAAATAGATGCACTCACCAACCTACCATCATTAACTTCAGTCAAACAATTAAGGAGATTTGTTGGTCTCATCAATTTTTACAGGAACCACATACCTAAATGTTCACACATTCTCACTACAGTTACAACTTTACTCAAAAGAAAAAACAAGAACTACTCTAAATGCAGTACAACTTCAAGCTATAGGGTACCAAACATGCTGTAATCAGTTTCACCAAACTACAATTTTTATGGACTGATGACACTGTCAAGCTGACCCTTATCAGTAGTTGCAGTTGGAGAAGAGCTGCAGCAGGTTAGTAAGGATATTTCTCAACCCATTTCTTTCTAATCAGCAAAATTAACTCCTAATCAGAGAAACTACAGTACCTTTCCTCAGGATCTTTTCAAACATGCTTCAATTTAAATTTTCAATTTAATAAAAATAAATAATCAATAAAATCAGTTCCTGCCAAGAATCTTAGTAAAGAAAATGTATCTTTCGGCAGGCTTCAAACCTGTGTCCCCCTTTGTAGGGCTATATACTATCTGATTTGGCATGCTTGTCTAATGTTCTTAATCTTGGTAAAAAAAAAACATGCATAGAACTCATTTACTTAGAGTAGATTTAAAATAACAGAAAACTGAGTTTGATGAAGTAAGAGGAAACAGAGAGAAAACAAAATGAAAAGATGCAATCAAACAAGAAAAGAAAAAATCAAATCAAATAGAAATTGTTTAACTTACTTTTCCTGATTTGCCTTCTGAGCACAGCAAATTAGCCATCAACATGAATTCAGTTGATTTGGTTTGTTTTAAAATGCAGCTTCCATCCTACATTAAAATTAAATGGATAAAAATTGTTATTGGAAAATATTTTTGTAGCAAAGGATCTTGATTAGAGAATCTTGTTTGTTATACAGGTGGACTATCACCAATCTGGCAATTGGTAATTTGGCATCAACAATCTGGCAATTGGTAATCTGGTTGTCAACAATCTATCAGTAATCAAGATATCCCCAATAGCAATTGGTAATCTGGCATCAACAATCTGGCAATTGGTAATCTTCTTTAATCAGTAATTCAGCACTAATTTCAAAGAGAGCAGTTTCAGATTTTTCTAGTTTGCTGCACCTGCCACTATTGCTTAGTGGAGCTAGCTGTGACATCAGCTTTTTTTGAGCCCTTTCAAAAGCATTTCTACTTGTCTTTTGTGTATTTTTATTACAACCTGCTGATGATTAGCCCCATTCATTGCTCCAATGAATAGAGGAAATGCTTCTTGCAGCATAAAGCCATCTATTGTCCATAACAGCTAAGTAGAACTTCTGATGAATTTTCTTATATAAAAATTTCTTGTGACCTTTATTTTACTCGTGTTTCATTTAAATTTTACTTGATATGCATTTAATTTTTCCTTGATTTATTAATGAACATGTACTGACTTACAGGGTATTTCAAAGGATAGGTCCAAGTAGTTAGTTGTTGGGCTGTATATTATAATGCTACTTTCAGTAATCCAACAAAATAACTTATGTGGAACCCTACAGGCCACAATGATATCAGATTAGTGATGTTCAACCTGTATTTGTTAAAAGGAAAATGATATAATGATGGATTATCCATAATATTTATATAATCCGTATATGATGTTTGTTGCCGACGTTTCTTTTGGTCAGTGTGTTTGTGTGTGTGCACACATGTTTTCAACTGTCAAAAATGTTTAAGAAATTCATTCAAGATTCCCTAGCACCATCCTTAGAATCTCTCAAAAAGTCAACAATTACTGAAAAAAAAAAAAAAAAAAAAAATAGCATCACGTTCATATAACAAGTTACAGGAAGAAACTTGGACAATGTCATTACAAACATCATTGCATTACACATAATTCCAGGTATTACTTTATTTTTGGAAGACATCTTTGAATCACACTAAAAATAAGCTTTTAAATTACTTACCTTTGGATCAACTTTGGCCAAATGTGTCTGACATCCATTAACATCTTTCAAATTCACATTGCACATCATCTACAAACAAAAAAGAACTTTCATTTAGAAAATCTTTGATATGATCTTGTAGAATTCCAACTGAAGAGGTAGTTTAAATTACTTAGTAACAAACATGACCAACCCAACTGTTCCACTAGGCTTAGAGTGAAAAGTTAAATTACATGAGACTGGCCACTAAAAATCTGAAACAACACAAAGAGCACACAAGACATGCTAGACTCAACAACTATTTTATTCAAAACTGCCACTTAATCTGTTTGCTCCCAGCATTCCTAGTGGGACCAGAAGTGTTTACAATCATCATCATAATCAACATTACTGATGTTGCTATAAACACCAACAAAATAATTTCTCATTTTAAAAGTTTTTACTGAATTCAGTTGATAAAAAAAATTAATAAAATCTTTAAAGGAAATAGTTTTCTTTTCAAATTAAATCATTGAAAACAAAAAAATTAAAAGGGAGTTTAAATTTAAAAAAAAGTTAATCTAATAAAAATGTACTGATTAAATAATAAATTTTAATAAAATTCAATCTTGAATGCAGATATTTTCTGATTTAATGTGTGGGAAAATTAAATTTGATATATGTAACCATAAGTTCTATGCTAACAGTTTCTTTTCTCGCACTTCTTGCTTGTGGAACTCTCTCATGGCTCTATGCTTTCCAGCCAACTTTGATCTTCAAAAATTTAAATGCAATGTCAATCATTATCTACTCTCTTCCTGATTACTTTTCTGTTGTTCTTGCTCATTAATCATGTTTCTGTTTTTCTTATTCTTTCACACTCAGTAACCCCTTGTATCTTAGTGGCTTTACTGCCTTGCATTGGGCGATATGATTAAAAAATGTTCATACTTTTATATAGTTCATCTTTTATAAATGGTTAAATTTTGTCTGCGTCTCCCATCTTACAACAGTAGAACAAAACAGTCCACATTCTTAATATATAATGAATGCTTACCAGCCTTTTATATATATTACTAAAAAATGGCATTTCCAATATTAGCAGTAATATTTAATTTGCATAACAATTTTTAAAAGCACAGTGTTATTCCTAATTTAAATTTTAAAAATTGTCATATATAAGCAATGTTTCTATTCAATAAAGTTTCATTTTTAAATTCATCAAGTTTGTATAGAAATAATTCATATCTGACTTGCTGAAATTTAGCCATGAGTTAGAAAACTTACAGCATTTATAATAAGCATTGTTGTCGTCTGTTATTTCACATCACTACAATTTAGTTAAATGGAGCCAAAATGATTATGGAATTATTTACTGTATTTGCCTTTGCATAAGACATTTTATAAATTTTTAAATGTACCAAAAAACTTACTAGTAATAAAATATTGAAAACAAGCCAAGCAAAATATTTTGCTTTGTCTGCATGTACTCTAATTATCTATTATCCTCTGGAAAATCAACACCACCCTTCAATCTAAATAGATGAGTGCACTTATATTATCCCCTCTTTCTATGGCTCCAATAAATATAAACAAAATAGATGCAAAACATTTACAAATACATATATATAGTTTGCATGCAACAAAGATTTTTTAAAATTTTATTTAATATTTTTTCTTTTAATTATCCATTAATAATTTTTTAATTTATTCCTTTTACTACAAAAAAAAAAAAAAAAAAAAAAAAAAAAAAGGAGGAATAAAAAAAAAAATAAAAAAAAACTGGAAATTAAAATGCCTAAACAAAAAAAAAATATGTTCAGTATAGTGCTCCATTTATAGAAATAAAAAATTTGTTTAATTTTGCTCTGCTGGTTTAGTAAAGAAATTGGTAACATTTTCTTCTGTTGGAATATAGTTCAATTTTACCTTTTTGAATTTCAGTCCTTATGAAGTGGTACTTTATGTGTTTTAAACATTGATGGTAGACTGGGTTCTTAGCTAAAGCAATAGTACATTGATTATTGCAATAGATTGTGGCTTGCTCTTTAGTTGCATTAATTATGGTGGCTAATAATTGAATAAGGAATTTGGCTTCTTGTATGGCAGCTGCCAATGCTGTGTACTTTGCCTCGCAGGTTGATAATGCAACTGTAGGTTGCTTTCTTGTTTTTCACAAAATCATTGAACTGTTTGGTGCTAATTGGAAAGCATAGCATGTAATGCTACATCAATCATCTGAATTTCCCCAATCAGCATCACAAAAACCTCTTAAAGTTAGGGACTTATTTGACTTATTAAACACTAAACAGCGTTTTTGTCGCTTTCTAATAGCGCAAGACTTGTTTGGCTCTTATCAAGTGATCTATCGTTGGATTTTCGGAATATTGTTACAACATAACTAATATCAGGATGAGTGGCAGTCATAACATATATAAAACTGCCAACTATCTCTCAGTAGTATTTTCCATCTACTGGTTCATCCATTAGATTGATATTGATATCAATTTTACAAGGCGCTATCTAGGTTTACAATCTTGAATTTTAAATTTGGTTAGAATCTTTTCAATACGATTGTTTTTAAACTTAAACTGTATTCCAAGAAAGAAAGCTTTCAATCATTCTAAACTGTTCACATAAACATGTTTTTACATTATTTAATGCAGAATTTCAACTGGCACCAGTTAGTATATCATCAACCCAAACAATCATAATCAATATCGTATTAGAAGTGTTTTCTGTATGAATACAAGAATCTGCCAAGGATTGTGAGAAACCTTCGCCAATTAAATATGTATAAAGAACTTGATTCCAATTTTGTCCACTTTGCTTGAGTCCATATAAGGATTTTCTTAATCATTATACAAGTTTTTTTTATTGTTTTTGCTGTGAATGGAGAAGCCCACCGGTTGTTCGATATACACTTCACAGTCGATCGGTGCATTTAAATATGCTGTTTTTATATCCATTTGGTGGACAAATAAATTATGTTGAACAGCTAATTGCATTAAAATTTTTACTTATGATAATAGAGCCGTAGGGGAGAAAGTTTTGTAATAATCTATTCCAGGTTTTTACGAATAGCCTTTTGCAACAAACCTTACTATTCACTATGCTTTAATAGTGTACACCTATCGACTGCCTACAACAGTTTTACCAGATGGGAGCTCTATTAATTCATACGTATTATTTGCTTTTAGAGCATCTATTTCTTTTTCCATGGCCTTTTGCCATTTTATAGAGTCATCTGAAGTAATAGCTTCATCATAATTATTGGGTATATCTTTCATTGAACAACAATAATCTATGTTCGGATTTACTTTGTCATCTAAATTTTTAACAACGTAATCTTATAAATATTCAGGTATTTTTCATAACCTGCTTGGGTCTTGTCTCTCTCGTATTTCTGCACTAGGATTATTTCCCGTATTATCAGCTGAATTTCTTGATTGTGCAGTTTCACTTTCTTTTGTGCCCTTCCCACAAGAACTCTTTGGCTAATAGTCGTCATTTCCTTCAACTGGAAAAAAACAATCACCCGATTTAGGCTTTTCAAAGTCTTCAGTAAATTTTATACACCTGACTCTCTTGACGTTTCTCATCTCAACTATAAATAGGCAGAACTAGAGTTATCATAGCTTATGAAAATTGCTTTTTCACTTTTAGTGTTCAATTTCTTTATATCTTGTATGTATGCATAACAAATTGTGCCAAATATAAGCATATTGGTGAGGTTAGGTTTGCGACCATGATCATTCCAAAGGCAATTATTTTGTTCTTTGATTGTAGCACGGATCTCTAATATAGTCAGCAGTTATAATAACATACAACCACAAAAACTTTGGTAGCTTTGATTCTATTAATAGACATCTACACATTTCAAAAAGAGAACGCCAACATCTTTCAGCCATACCATTTTGATGTGGGGAATATGGAGCAGATTTCTCATGTTTAATTTTATTGTTAATTAAAAGATTTTCAAAGGTTTTAGAAGTGAATTTCGTGCCATTATCACTTCTTAAGCATTTTACAAAGCCATGCAGGGTGATATCAGACAGATATTTCTTTGTGGCAGCATTTGTGTCACTTTTTTGTTTCGTAAAATATACCACAATTAGACCAGAATAGTCATCTATGAAACAAAGTGTGTACTTAAGGCCATTTAAAGATCTTAGCTCTATTGGGCCAGTGAGATCCCAATGAACAAGGTCTAATATTTTAGTTGTCCTTTTATCAGGTAACTTGTTTTTATACTGTACCATTTTTGCCTTGGATACAGGTTTCCCAGTTTGTATCTGATTTATCGATAATTTTCATGCCTTCCACAACTTCTTGTAGCTGTATAATATCCTTCAGATTGCAATGTCCAAGAATTTGATGCCATCATTGTAGGCTGTGTGTTGCAGTTTTAAACAGTGTTTAAATAGTATAACTGTCCATTTCTTTTTATGTCGAATTTAACACCGTTAGGGTAGAGAAGTTTTGAGTAATTCCAACCAAATTTCACAGAAGTTCCTTTTTCAGTATCAGCCTGGATTGAGAACATATTTTGTTTGAATATAGGAATGTATACTGCATTTGTTAAAATGCAGTCACGCATATTTCCGTCAATATTGGTTATAGTGATTTGAGCATTACCCCTTTTTAAAGCAATATTGCTGGTTTGACTATCTACCAGTTCAATATAATGATTTTCTGGATAAAAATCATTATTGAAAGTAAGAAATTTACATTCATCAGTAATCACATGCAAGGTAGCACCACAATCAACAAGCAAGTCATTTTTGTTGGAAACTGTGTCTAGTCCAATTGAAAATAAATGAATATTCATTATCTGAAACATGTTCCATATTTTTTATGAAATGGGCTTACTTTTTGTTTCTGCATTTGGTACTCTTGTGTCCTGGCTTGCAACAAGCATGACAGATAATATTTTTGTTTGGTGAATTGGAATTATAGCGTTTTGAGGGGGAATTATTCACTGGATATTTGCACAATTTATTCCGGCAGTCAGGACTCTTATGCCCAAGTTTACAAGTGAAACAGGTTGGTACGTTAGTTTGTGATTTGGGTTTTGGCATTTGGAGTGACATTATGGTATTCTCACTATTATTATCATGAATCATTTTTTCAGTTTCATCGAAGCTTCACAGTGCTACTTTAAATACACTAAACACTTCACAGTGCTACTTTAAATACACTAAACACTTCACAGTGCTACTTTAAATACACTAAACACTTCACAGTGCTACTTTAAATACACTAAACACTTCACAGTGCTACTTTAAATACACTAAACACTAAAAAAATGCACTTTGTTGTACACTAAACACTTGACAGTGCTACTTTTTTAAATACACTAAACACTTCACAGTGCTACTTTAAATACACTAAACACTTCACAGTGCTACTTTTAAATACACTAAACACTTTACAGTGCTACTTTTTAAATACACTAAACACTTCACAGTGCTACTTTTTTAAATACACTAAACACTTCACAGTGCTACTTTTAAATACACTAAACACTTCACAGTGCTTCTTTGTGTACTTTTTACAGTGCTACTTTAAATTTAAACACTTTTTCAACTACTTTTAAATACACTAAACACTTCACAGTGCTACTTTAAATACACTAAACACTTCACAGTGCTACTTTAAATACATAAACACTTCACAGTGCTAAAAACACTTCACAGTGCTACTTTAAATACACTAAACACTTTCACAGTGCTTTTAAAATAAACTAAACACTTTGCTATTTTAAATACACTAAACACTTCACAGTGCTACTTTAAATACACTAAACACTTCACAGTGCTACTTTAAATACACTTTGGATTCATAGTGCTACTTTTTTTGATACACTAAACACTTCACAGTGCTACTTTAAATACACTAAACACTTCACAGTGCTACTTTAAATACACTAAACACTTCACAGTGCTACTTTAAATACACTAAACATTAGTAGCTTGACTTTCTGAGTGATAACAGTTGTAAATGGCTTGAAATTGGATGGAAAGCCTTTTAAGACCATGGCGATTAATAAACCATCGCCATTGCAGTACTTTTCTGCCATTATTAGGGGCTTCTCTCATAATAAGAGATAATCTTTCATCATCAAGAAATTGAATTAATTCAGCAAATGCATTTACATTCTTTTCATGGTAATTTTCCTCATTGGGACAATCAAAAGGAGCCAAAATTATTTTGTGTGATTTTTGGATCTGCATGTAACCCAAAAACTTCACTTCCCATAGTTCACGTATTCTGTGTCCTTCTGACTATAAGAGGGGAGGGGAAAACTTTTGCAATCATTCCCACTGGAAAATTAACAATTTAAACAAGTCAAAATATAGTAAGGATGCTGAATTAACTTTTATTATTATTAATATAAATATTAGAAAATTGTTGAAATGTTTTTCTCATGCTTGGCTCTATGTAGCAGAACCCAGAGTAGGAAATGCAAGTGCACTTAATACAGTGATTCCCAAATGGTGTGGCCCACCTCATACATGTGGCAGAAGAGGATAACAGATGAGCCACAATGATTGAAAGACAATCAAAGATTTAGAAAGTTTAAAAAAAGTCATATGCCAAAAATAAATATGGTTTCAAAATTTAAAATATTATGGACTATTTGCAATTGCATATGTGAGTACCAATATAAATATTTATAAATAATTATTGACCCATTTTATAATTGTGATATTTTTGCATTATATCAAGTATCAAGAATATAGTAAAGATTTTCCAAAATGTAGCTTAGATGTGGCAAAATTGCTGAAAGCATGGGGCATCCAGTGAGGATTGAACTCCATTTTTCAGTAGTAACTGACATAAAAAGACAAAATTGCTAACCATTACACCACAATTTATGCCCTATTTTTAATATATAGTAACTATAAACCAAAAAATTGGAGAGATTTATCAATGAATATGTTCTGAACTTTGAATCCACAGTTATTTCCCTTTAACCCACTATTTTTTTTTTTTTTTTTAAATGTACTTTTTTATCATCACATAAAATTTGGTGAAGTGCAAGCTAATTTTCATTCTGAAAATGCAGCCAAGAGAAAAAAAAGTTTGAGAACCACTGACTTAATATAATCACTAAAAGAACTTTTGACAATAAATGTTTTGCTGAAAATGTTGTTTATACAGAAATTTTAGAGAGGTAAGAAAATGTCTATAACAATTATTCTCTTTTTGTAAAACAACTATTCAGTGAGTTATAATAAACGAAGGACAAACAATCCAAAGTAAAATTACTTCATTAGATACTGAAGCAGAAAGACACAGATTGTTCCAAGGAAACAAAAACTCTTACCTCGGAATTTACACCTTCAACATGTCCAGGCCCTGCTCCAGCTCCAATTAAAAAAGCTCCAGGAAGGTCCATCAGCTTGGATAACATCTCAGTCTGATAAATCTATGTTATCAAGGAAAATGAAAAATATTCAGCTATCAAAGAGTCAAAAGACCAAAAATGGAGTATTGATACCATGCCTGTGTTGAAGCTAACGAATCCTCATTTCCAGCTTTGATAATGTCCAAAACCATTTACATGGCCTTCCACTCTACAACCTCTTTCCCCACAGATGCAATGTTGCAAGTCTATCACTAACTACATTATCACCATGATATGTGTTGAGATGAGATCCACTCTTTAGCTTCACCAGGTCAGACCTTTACAGTCAGGAGAGACCATGCTATGTCCATGGAGTTGAATAACCCTCATTTCCCCTGTATTCTAATTGTAAGGAGGAATTTCTATTCAGACAGCTTCCCCTCCACCTCTCGTCAAGAACTGCTACTCTGTGGAAGAAACTCCCACATTGTACTGGGTGAACTTTAGTATATATATATATATATATATATATATATATATATATATATATATATATATATAGACATTATTCTAGCCAAAACTGTAGTTAGATTTGCTTTTTATTTTGTGTCTATTTTCAATGTGGAATTTTTTAAAGCAAAAAATACGAAATTAATTTATTAAATGAAATAACTAATAATAACAAAAACAAAATTTTTTTTTGAGGTTATATACTTTGAATAAATTCATTTCACAGAAAGTCCACATTGATGGTGTTGTTTTACTACAGTTTTCCTATTGTCATTTATATTTATAAATATTGTCTTTTCTACAGGTTAACTCTCAGAAATTTTATCTTTATATATATATATATATATATATATATATATATATATATATATATATATATATATATTTATATATATATATATATATCCTAACTTGTTCAGATAATATTATTTTGTCAAATCCACTTTCAACAGAAGTAGTTGGGGGGGGGGAGTTAGATTATAGTATATCTAAATATTAGTATCTTTTGAATACATTTTCAACTGGAATAAAAATATAGAAAGCAAAAATCAAAGAATTCAGTTTAAGGTGAAATTCACAGATTCATGCGAGATGAATTAACATTGTAATGAACTTACAAAAACCAAACTTACTTTTTGCCGTTGAACTTCAGGAAGCAGAAATGGAGGACCTCCAATATCAGCAAGACGAGGACTGCCACAAATTCCTGAAAGAATACAAGAATGAAAATCATTTACTATGCCGCCACTAATAAAGTAAGATAAATGATAGCATGTCTTCAGCAGCAGCTGTAACAAAAGAGAAAGCCTCAGTAAGTGCAGTCAAGCAGCTCTCATCAGCAGGCAGGTTAGGTTTAAGGCTCCAAGTTCTCCACAAAGAATTGTCCCACAATAGTAGATTAAAACTGGTTCATGAATTTAGTGACATAATGAGATTGGGAGTTCAATCCCTGTTGTAGGGTGTACTTGGGCTCAGTGGAAACAGGACAAGCAATAGTTGAGCAGTACTAAATAAGAACTAGATGAGATATCCCTAGACAGGGTCAGTCGAATGAGAACATTATACCTCTGTAGATTAAATAAAGGATTAGGTTGTAGGTTACTCAGATCAATGTTAAAAGATTAAAAGAAAATTGGTAAATTCATAATCTATTATTTAAAATATATTATACATAGATTCATTCCAAATTAATATAAATAATACTTAGATTATATGTAAAAAAAAAAAAAAAAAAAAAAATTTACTCAGATTTGTTTATTAGACATTAAATTATGCCACTTAGCATCCTCCATTATTTACCTTGACATTTACAAGCATTTTTAGATTTAAAAATTCTGAAAAAACTAATGACATTTTTACTTTTGTTTATAAATACTTGTTGCAAAATAAAATCCTTACATTTGTCATGTTAAAGTCCTTCAGAGGATGAAAAGTTTTCCTTTTGTCGTATATATATTCATAAACTAAATAAATATATATATATATATATATATATATATATATATATATTTTGTACACACACACACACACACACACACACACACACACACACACACACAGGGTTCAATGGGTAAATTGTTGCCATTTTATATTTTTAATTTTGTGCATGCACATTGTTTTTGATTTTATTGACTGCAAAGTATAGTGTGGTCTGCTGGGCATCGTCTGCGAGAAAAAGCACCATGACACAATTCACTTCACCAGAAATTTGGAAACAGCATGCTGTACTGCTTGGCATTCATATCAGAAGCTCCAATATGAACATTTTAGATAGGCAATTTATTTTTTTTTGAAGATTTACTTTAAATATCATATTTTAAAAAGAAAAAAAAATATTTGCCTTGAGCCAAACTTTTTGGAACACTTTCCCAATATGGCAACCGATTTCTTTTATTGAGAGATTTACTTTAAATATCCTTTTTCTTTTAAATATTTGCTTTAATGTTTTAAGAGAGTTTCCCAATATGGCAATAATCAATTGTTGTCTAAGCCATTAATAGAAATGAGAGTGATAATAAATAAAAAGACTTTACCTGCTGCAGCAAGCATAAATGGTTTCTCAGTGAGATTTGGGCAATCAACAACATTGACTGATGCCGATTTGAAGCTCTTCTGCAGACCATCAGTTAATACTGGAAAAAAAAGTCATAAGAAAATTGATTCCAAGTTGGGAGAAGCAGCTAAAATTTAAATAAAATCAACTATAAAATATATACTCATTCTAAAGGGCCCTAAACAGAATACAAAATAAATTATTTTGCTATCTTGAGTATTTGTTAAGTTTCAAGTGTTTCAAGATTAGCACTATCATTTAAGCAGTAACACAGTGAGCCATGTTTAACCATATATGGTCATCATAAAATAAAGGAATACACAGATCACTGTTTTACTATAACCATAAGATTTATAGTATGCAATATGAAATGCTTGACAATGTAGTTTCTTAATAACACAAGGCTGAAAATCAAACTTGTGGAGATTAATTCCTTCTTTGCCTTGATAAATGTAAATCCAAGTGTCAAACAAAAGATGACATTCAGTAGGGGTAAATAGGTGTAAAATTTATTTACATATATGCAAAAACTGGTAACTTTTATTAACAGGGAAAAAATCCAATGGTGAAATTAAAATTGAAAAAAACATTGGTCATCAGTAACATTTTTTTCACCTCATCGCATATCAGTTCTTGAAGCAAACAAAGGCCAGTCTGTATTATGTCAGCTTGAAAAAATAAATGACACCAAAATGAAATAATGGAAACTGACCATGAAAAACAAAATTATGCACAAGTTTTCGATCAATCAGTAAACTTCTGGAACTTTTAGGGTGATGTTATAAGATCCAGATGGCTATTGTTTGCACATGGAATTATTCACTGGTAATTAATCTTCAATTTGACTGTGGAAAATGTCACTCGGCGGTTAGCATTAAGAATTATGCCCAATTTTCTGAGAAAAATCACCGTTTTGTTATGAAAAAATATTTATTTTCACTGCAAAATAATATCATTCAAACTTCATCCGTTTCTCCATAATTTGGCGTGAACATCATTGAATAAAAGAAACAGCTAAATGGCCCAGCAATGAGAAATATGAAAGATATGCAGTGAAAAAAAACAATGTTGTCTGCTAAGTGTTGTTGTCATCACCCAGGTCACGGAGTGTTAAAAACAAAAAAACACATCAAGCCATTGTTCAAACATAGGTTATATCAAGCCCTACTAATGTTGATCCTTTTTTTTTTTTTCACTCTTTGCTTTTATTTGGGAGTGGTGGGTTTTATTACAACTTGTTCTAAACATTTATTGCTGGCTGGCTGACCTTTGACCCAGAGATGTCAAAGTCAATTTGGTTTAATTTTCCTTATTGTTGCTATTTTTGGGAAAAAAAAAAAAAAACTTTTGGTTTCTGGTGGTCAGGAATTGCAGATAAATCTTTCGCTTTTTACTAAAGATTTCCATGGCCAGGTGTCAATTTTTTTTTAACCCCTGGCAGTCATATAATTGAAAATTACCAATGGACTTTGTCACATTTTGACCCCCTAGGAATGTTTATTTCCTTCAAAACTCTCAATTTTATGCCTGAAATAGTTTGATTATGACCTAGGCTTTCTGATTTTTAAAAAAAAAAAAGTTTAATTTTCCATTAATTGGGAAAAATTTTGTTTAGAACTAGTAAAAAAATGAAAGATTTTCACTATTTTTCCACATTTTACCCCACCTGAAAAAACATTTTGAGTCATTTACACCAGCCAATTGTACTTTTAAATGAAAGAATATATCCTTTGCTTTCAGAAAATACCTAGTTTCATGGGGTTCAGATCAAAAGTTTCCTTGATATTTGTTTAGATAAAACAGTCATTTTTCAAAATTTTACCCCTATAAAAGTATGAAAATCCATTTTTTCTGAGAAAATAAGCTGTGACAAAATGATTTTTGCCATTTTTGTGATGATTTTTACTTGGGATAGAAAATTTTTACCATAGCAAACCTGAATTGACTTTAAGTTCAGTGGGAAACCTCAAACATCTGTAGCACATAGCATAGCAGTTATTGGCATGGAAAGTGGAATTGGCATCCCAAATTCAAATTCCAGCTCAGCAAATGCCTTGCTTAGGGTGAAATTATTTTTAAAAAAATAATCACTTTGCATCCTACAAAAAGATCAGGCTTGGGGGTCTTCAGGTCTCCTCCAGTGGGGTTCATAATTTGTGCCAGATTTTGGGTGTGCTCAGCAAAACACAATATAAATTTTAAAGTTTTTGCTTCTAAATTCAATGAAGTGCTTGCTCCTCTTCAGTACCATTAGACTCCCCCTCTGGAACATAAGGCCACAAATACACCATACTAGATATTGTTGCTCTGGTTTCTGCAGAAAGTAGATTTTTATAGGTTGGAATTGACAGCCATATTCCCAATTAGTTTTCCTCCTGCCAGACTGGTTGCCAACCAAGGTTAATGAGTCCAGTCTGCTCTGCTATTTAACCTATAGCTGGGGGGTGGGTAGAAGAGATCAGTCATATATTTTCTAATGGTATTTGTGTGAAAGTGAATTTTATTTTATTTTCATTTTTCAACTGCTAACTTATTTTTATTTTGTACAGAATCTTAAATGGGAAATAATTTCAAAATTCTAAATTACCTTCCTATTGGTTATATAAGGTTAAAAATAAATTATGTATGATGTCTGAAGATGTTTAGAATTGTTTTATGACATTGGTAACTGAAAGAGAGCAGAGTGAAAGCAAACAGTATCAATGATTTTATCAATTTTCCTCAGTTTTTTTTCTTATAGTAGCACTTTTTTGGCTTAAGTTTTCTTAAAATAATTAAAAAGGCTAAATTTGGTGCAAGCAGTTGAATAATTTATGAAATCAAATAGTTTAAGAAAAAACAACAAATAGAATATCAAAGTTTTAAAAAATATATAATTAAATACAATGAATAAACTTATTTCATTTTATTTTTAAAAAAATCTATTTTTATATTCCTTATAGTTTTAATATAAAAAATATTATTTCTAAATTTCATAAAGGAAAAGCCCATATCAAATAAAAAAATATAGTCCTACTCTATTGGTTATACAACATTCAAAATGATTATTATTAATGATCTAACATAAACGAAACAAGATTCTGTAGTATTGGTAGTTTTGGTTATCCATATTTAATTAAATTTGAGATAAGTTTTTTTTATTATTATTTAAAAGTGGGGGCTGTGAAGTAAAGACTGCAATTGTTTGACCAATAAAATTGTTGACAAGTGGAATAAAACTAGTGTTAAAATATGTTTTCTGCTTAAAATGTAAAAGTAATATTTTTCAAAGTTCTGTTAATTAAACCTTGTGGTACTTAGTTTTATTCAAGTTGTTGTCCCAGTGGAGTAATGGACAGCAGCTCAGATTGAGGAATCAGAGAACCAAGTTCAAATTCCAATCAATTACATTCATTTACTTGCTAATACACTTGACTTTGGGAAAGTATGAATAGCAGGAAAGATAGCCTTGGATGGCAACTGGTTTACCACAGAAAGAAATGGCAACCTACTGCAGCAAAAAACTGCTTTGTCAGTCATATATCAAAAGATACATGATCGCCTAAGCATGTGTCACGCATGGCACATAACTGACTGTCCTGCTAAACGGTAGTCAAGTGAAAAACGAAACAAAATTTTAAAAAATCGGTACAAGTATCAAGAGAAAGACATACATACAAATCAGTTTTTTTAATAATGATTTTTTTTAATCATCCTTAATTATATTAAAAAATAGCTCGATTCAAACAAAAATTTTTTGCAACATTAGTAAATTTATTACAGACATGCGAATTTTGTCAAGTGCTGATGGTTTTCTAAGCGTAGCTTAGATGTGGAGCTCCCAGTAATCAGTCGTAATGATAATTGGTTTCTCTCTAGTAAGACAAGCAAGTCTGATTCGAATTTAGGCAAATAATTCGTACAGATTTTTGGAACCTATACTTGTACGTTTAACAACGTCAAGTATCGACACGGACTATCGAAACCAAGAAAAAAAAAAGAAAATGCATTTTATTTTTAAATAACATCTTTGAAGTTAAATTTTTGCTTTATTTGAAAGAACCTAACTAATAAAAGCCAAAATTAATGTCCGTGTAATTAATTGCTTTTTAGTTTTTTTTCTTAAGCATTTTAAAAAACAATGGCACTTTTTTCTTGTCTTGTCACTCACTCACCGAACCGCCATTAACCCAATTCATGACACTGAATACAGTTGACTCCATGTATTTATTTCAGGAGACATAATTATTTTAACTTGTCATTTCATAGTCCTTGGCTAGCGGAGAGCGAGTGCGTGATTTGTACCAAGGTTCAGCATAAAGTTGGGATCAGGAGAAGACAACTCGTCTAGTGTCCTGTTGCTTACTACAATAATTATCATTAGGAACATGTTGAAAACCAAAAAGAAATATATAAAGTTTGACTTCTTTTTCTCTCTCATATATGTCGGGTCAACTATCGTTCTTTGCTAATGATAACATATAACCCCGTAGTACACTCGATTGCAGGTTATTTGGAGAAGAAACAGGTATCAAATTAAATTTCTTTGCACCGAGATGCCTGATGCCATGAAGGATTCAAATTACTTGGATATGACACAATGACGTTGGGTTGGGTTTATTCTGGAAATGTTAGGAAATAGTTACACTGCAAATTAACCTAGAAACATTTTCTTTTCCTTTGCAAAATATACTTTTAAAAGTTTTCAGTCTTCGTAGCATTAAAGAAACTTTTCATTTTGTAAATTAAAAAAGAAAAAAACGGTTTTAAAATAAAAAAAAAGAATATGGACGGTTGTTCGACTCCCTCCTCCCACCAAATAAATTACCTGATTGAAGTTCTGTTAACGCTGGGGTGTGCAAAGCCAACTTGATTACCGGAGGAGTGGTTGAAATAGACATCTTTTAAATTTAAAATATCAGTAAAAATGTATTCGTTCGAAAAAAAGTAAACACAACATGTAATTGTAATTCCTTCGTTCGACTTAGCCTTCTTTTTTTTAAATTGTGGCTGGTTGTAAAGCGCTGTAATTACAAAAAAGAAGTTGAAAAAGACTAAGTTTATGTCCTGATTAAAGCCGAATCTGCACTTTGTGGATATAATCTTATCGGTAACATTTCAATTTCATTAATACAAGCAACCACATTAGATTCAGCGCAAACACAAATTTAACAAGCCACGTGCCCGAAATTTTATCAATGCAAGGAAGATAACTCGCAATAACTTCGTGCGCGTGCTACTATTATGGACGTGAACTAGAGAACCGTCTCACTCCTCACTTTCAAAATGACATTCAATAGGAAACTTTTTTCGATAAATATTATGATTAGCGATAATATTCATTTATTTAATTTAATAAAAATACCACAATAAGCATATAAATAAAAAAATATAAATATATTTTCATTCCTGAAAGAATTACTACTTTCCCATATAATTTTGTCTATGACTTTTTAAATTTAGCGGTATAAAAATCACTTTGAGAGCAAACCATGTATTGTTTGTCATCCTTTTTCTTTCAGCCATTCCGTTTTGTCTGTGTATTAAGGTGTTATTATATCATATATATAACAATGCCCACAATAGGAAATATTTATTTTCTTGCATAGCACACTTCCATAAAGGTGTTTGATGACAAGCTAGTGAATTGCCTGGAGTTGTGATGATACAGATGAAGTTAGTGGCTTTCGCTGTTGTAATGTCCAACAAAAGAGTCCCTGTAGCTGACCGCCCACAACTGATGGAGGAACTGGACAGATTGACCAAAATTTGGATCATTCAGCCAGAGAGAAACTCACACTATGGGTCAGCTAACTATTATACAATACCAGTTCTGCAGTGTGTACTGCATGATGCAAAAGATACCAAAAAATATTCACCATGGTTTATTTATCAGCTTGGATATTGACATGTAAAACATGATGTATCATCAAATGAGCTGGTTATGTTTCAGACCTACTTTGGGTTTTTTTGTGAGTGCCATTTGGCCTAAACTCTGCACCTGAAATCTTCCAAAACAAAATAATAGTAGAATGCTTCCAACACAAGGAAGAAATTTTTGCTATTGCAGATGATCTAGTGGTATTTGGTTGGAGCCAGAATGAACATGATAAATGGCTGAACAAACTACTTGAAAGTTGCTGCACAGTTGGGGTTGTTGTGGGCAGTTGGATGCACTTGTCAACTTGTTGTGAGCATTAATAACATTGGTGTTTGAAATTGGAAATAACACAGTATCTCCTGAAATACCCACAACAAATATGGCAGACTCAGGATGTGAGTTCACATAAAGAAATGTAAGTAACAACAAGAACCAATATATATGTACAACAAATGATAATGTATTAAAAATAAAGGGTTACAAGTGACAAAGACAAAGATCTGTGTGTCAAATGAATGTGAAAACCATTTTGGTCCAAATTATGTGTAGTGAGTGAATGTGGCTACGTACGTGTGTGTGTATATTGCATATTCCCAAAGGAACGAACGTGTTCTCCATGATAGGTTACATGTTGACAAATAAGTGGATAAGGTGAGAAGAGAATGAAAAAATATCGCAGAATATTTATAGTCCAGAGAATGTCCCCTAGTAGCAGTTTCAAAAATCAGGAGGGATTAGCCCGATAAGGTCAAACTGAACACAAATAAATCCAAGATGGATTTGGATGTCACCACATTTATAGGACATAACATCATTAGGAAGGGAATTGAGCTTGACCCAGAAAGTAAGAATCATTTGAGGCATTCCCATTTCTGAAAATGTGGGCGACCTTTGCTGATTCCTGAGCATAGTAAACTATGCAGGCAAGTTTGTTCCACATCTGACCATCACAGTCAAACCACTTCATGATTTGATCAGAAGGGATGTTACATGAACGTGATCAGATTCCCAGTAAGCTATATTTGACACTGTTAAAGATATGATCACCAATTGGTTCTACCCTAAAAAGCAACTGACATTGGAAAATGATGCCTGTCAACATGGGTTGGGAGTGGCTCTAATGCAATATACAAGGCCTACTGCATTTGCAAGTCGTTTACTCTCAGAAAGTGAACAACAATACACCCAGATTGACAAAGAAATGTTGTTAGTGGCAAATAGGCTTGAGATTACACTCATGGTTGTGACATGACAGATCATGAACACCTGGTGGCAATATGTATGAAGCCTTTGTAAAAAGCACCCAAGCAAGAAAGACATTTTTATTGTATCTTTGGGTTTAGAGGAATATTCTACCTATATAATTTAAGGCTTGTTCCTTCAACTCATTCTATGGCATTGAAAGAGTGTAAAAATGTATCAGTTTCTAATAAAACATTAGTAAAGGAAGTCACTTTTTGTTTTGTGTCTAAGAGAAGCAAAGGTTTTATATTTCATATTTGTTCATTTAATTTTAAAGAAATGCTTATTCATCTCCATGAACATTATTATCTATTTATTTAAAAGAGAACAAGAGGACAAGGTAAAAATATGATTTCAGTCAGTGACCAATTTAATCAATTTATCTAGGTTATCTTTTTTTGATGTGTCAGTGTGTGTGTGTGTGCAAAATTATCTGCCTGGAAACTTAGGTTCAGATTTAATTTGCTTTGTCACAATTTAAAAATTTATTTACATTGCATCAGATGACAAGTCTTAAGAAATTTTGTTGCGGAGTGATTAGCTTGTTTGAATATGTTTTCGATAAGAAGGATATTTTTAGTTTGGCTGCGTAAACAAAATTAACATTTCCACAAACATTTAGATTATTTGCATGGCACAAGGCTGTCAAATCCAGAATATAAAACAACACTATGTTTTCTAGAAATAACAAAACATTTTTATATCAACAATATATAGAACTGAAGAATGAATTTACTCAGGTAATTTAAACTGAGTTGCAAATTGTTAAATTGATGTTTATCACACCAAAAATTGTTTTATGGCAGGCAAAAGTGTTTGTTCCATTGTGCATGTCAATATGTAACATTGATAATTAATAATAGAGCAGGACTTATTTACCTTTAACTATTATTTGAATTAGTTAAGAAGACTTTAAAGAAGATATATTTTTTATCTGAACTCACAGAAAAAAGATTTCAGTTCAAGAAATAATAGTAAATTTCAATGGAAAGAATGTTCTTCGATAAGAAGGTGTTGTAGACTGAAATTCAGTTTAAAATGAGTTCAAAGAAACTTGTTGATTGAGAGAAAATGTAATCTTCACTTGAATATCAAAAAGTTGTATTTGCTACTAAAAATGTAGTTTTTAGTTTAATACTTCCAAGTTGAAAATCAGCATAAATATATTGAAGTATCTTGCCACTCAAATTTGTTCACCATAAAGGGATAACATCAGTTGAGATGAATTGAGTGAGTGTGTTCTGGGAAGCTGAGATTATGTTAAGAAAATTTTTGCTTCAGAAGATTTGATATAAAATTCTCACTGGTAAAAATTGATAAGAGTCAAAAGTTGTATTTTCTCAGATAGCATGTTTGTTGCTGAATAAAATCTCACTGTTAGAAATTGATAAGTTTCTGTGTAAGGAGTGAATGAGATGAGTTCAGAGATGGGCAATGTTCATACATATGTGTGTGTGTATGTGTGTGTACATGTGTCATAGTGTCTTACCATAAGGGACAGACATGATCTCTCTAACAAGCTACATCTTGTATGTGAGAGAAGGCAAAAGAGGAAGAGTTGATGATGGCACTAAGTATTTATAATTAATGTATACCATGTCATAGGCTCGAAACACATAGACAGATTTTGGTGGTAAATTAATTTAAACCGTGCGGATGTAGATGAAAACATGATATTGGCATTAATTGAACAATCAGGAATCAGAGAAATATCAAGGCTCTGTGATCCGCTTTCTGCATAAAATTTGCACTTGTAAACAAGTGGTAGCAGCATGCTAAAATCTTAATAATCATTTTATACTAAAAAAAATCAAATTTAAATAAAAGGCAAGTAGATCATTTTTTAGAAAAATATCACAAAATTTCTTGTAATGTATGGAAAGTGTATAAAAAATTTATTAAAACATATAGAAAGTGTATAAAATGTCTTGTAAGCTGGTTTGTGAAGATTTGTGAAGTGTTATGTTACTGTCTGAATTTCTGGGATTAGGAGTTACCACTATTTACACTATTTGCATGTGAACTATTGTCCTCATCTTTACTAAAAATCAAAGGAATCCTTATTGTTTTTATTAATGAATATTTTCTATAATTCAGAACTGAGTCCTTATCCTTATTATATGAGATATTTCAGCGAGCTTTCTCATCCTTGCTAACAATAAACAAAGGAAGCATATTGTCTTTGAAACAAAATCAAAATAAAAGAGATGGAACTTTGGAGAATGCTGATGCTGAAAAAGCTCTCAAAGTGAGTTTAACAAAATGATCCATAAACAAAGCTGCTTATAGAGTTCTATGTTAGGGAGTAATAAGCAGTTATCTCCCTTAGTTCAGTTTTTGCAACTTCTTAAGAAGTTGTCCCACTATGGTAAAATTCTGTTTTTAATCAATTCACCTTGAGCAAGGCTAAAATGCCACTAAGATGCAAGGGGCTACTGGAAGTGAAAGAGAATGAAAAAAATCTTTAGAAAGAACTGGAAACCCATTCCTAAATAGAAAACAAGGGATAAACTTCTACTACTGTTCAAACCAATAGGCAAATCTATCTACTCCTATTGAGAAAAAAAATAGTAAATAAAATTTCAGAGTTTAGGCAGAACAATCAGGAGTATAGAGTTGAAGTCAACTTTAGAAAGAAAAAATTATTATGTTGTTCATCAAGATGGTTACTAAGTTTTGTCTGAAGTAGTGGTATTTGTAGTAATAAATCACCAGCTTTAGTGTACTTAGTGTATGTCTCCTAAATTTGATAAATAGATTGAGATTTTTGGACATGTG